GCTAAGACTTTTGATAATTGCTGTAGTTTCATGCCACTCTGTGATAGACTCCAATTTCACAGTGCTCGGATCCATATGTAGTTAAACTTTAACTGTTTAGGTGATTCTTCCTTTCCCCCCATTTACTGTGATCACTTGTGATGGTAGAACACAGACAGTGATTCTACTGAGCTGGACCAGCTTTGGAATTTTGTGGCCTGCATTATAATGCCTGGCTGGCTTCTTCCTTCCTCCCTCCCTCCCATTCCTCCCTCCCCTCTTTTTTCCTTTCTTCCTTCCCTCCATTCTCTGTTTATTCTTTTTTTCCTTCCTCCCCTACTCAAAACCCTTTCCAATCTAATTGCTAAAGGCCACAGACAAACAGACACACACACAGATACACAGACACACACAGAGACAAACATACACACACACACACACACACAGACACACACAGAGACAAACATACACACACACACACACACACACACACACACACACACACACACACACACACACGTTTCCTTAAGTCCTCCTGTTAGTTTTTCTGGGCCCTTGCTTTACAGAGATCTGTACTTTTTCTAATTTTATCACTGGTGACCGACTCCCATCACACCTGGAAGATGTGCTCAACAAGACTGTATCTGTTCCTATCCTCTGCTATTGATTTACCCACAAATGGGTTTCCATCTACGTGATAAAGCCTTTCTTCCCTCATTCCTTGGTTAATACCCATGGATGCTACTCATTGCTCCAAAGTTCAATAGACATTGTGTGGTGCAGGTGTTCAAAGGAGCAGCACTCTGACCCCATTGGTTTCTGTCACTATCTCTGTGACTTACGTGTCTTCCCATTAAGTATTCCCATATGTATCTCCTTTCACTTTTGCTTGAAATGGTCTCTCAGTGGTCTGGAACTTGCCAAGCAGAGTAGGCTAGTTCACCAGAAAGATGCAGAGATCCGTCTGTCTTACCCTTCCCAGCTGAGTTCACAAACACGCATGACTACTTTTTTTTCCTAGTGTGAGTTCTAGGGGTATAATTCAGATCCTTGTGCTTACAATGCAAACACTTTACCATCAGAGCGATCCTCTCAGCTCCTGGATCCTGAGAACTTCAGCACAAATATCACTAAAGATGGTGCAGTTCTCTTCTATACTATTTTGAGGTTTGGCATCCAGGTAGGAAGTAGTCTTCTTTATGCTGTGGATTTTAAGATCATGCACTTGACTCTTTGTAGCCTGATTTCCTCCTTTAACTTTATAACCATGTCCTGCTTGTCACTGGGCATCCATGTAGCTTAAAACTCTCCCTCCTGTCTTCTTCTTCCTAGAGACAGGGCCATCTCTGCCTTCATTCCTGACCCCTTTTTCTAGCACAGGCTCAGTATGTTTCATGTCATGTTTAACATGGCATGAAAAATGACTGGTCTACATAATGAAATCAGTCTGCCATCCACACACTTCTCCTTGACTTCAGAAACCCCTTTCTGCTTTCTTAGTTCTCTTTTTCCATAGCTGTGGAGGGGAAAACATTAAGAAGCACTTAATATTTCATATCATATGCATAACAAAGCAGAAAGGGATAATTCTGTCTACATTTTCCTTTTTTGCTCTTGGTGGATATTAATGCTGTAAGAATGCTAGGCTGTGTAGCAAGACTTACCAAATGTAAGTTAATAACAGTTTTTTTGTTTTATTGACCCCTGCATTTTACTGTTGGGTTTGAATTAACTGCAATATAATTAATTAAGTAATGAATTTTGATGTTATTTCATTTTATTACAAATAATTAAGAATGTTCAATTATTTTAAATATTGCTTATAACTTTTAAGTAGAGAGTGAACTGTTGTAACAACTAGAACTGAGTTATTGTGGTTCCAGGGTAAGAAGCTTCTAATGGGCAATTAATAAATCAATCTGAAAAAATATTGTTGATTCCAGATGTATTAAACTATAAAAATCCATGTAAATGTGGCATTTCCTCAATGGTCATGAAGACTTACTCCCGTAGACTAGGAAAAAAAGTAATAAAAGGCTGGAGAAAGGGAGGGAAGAAGAAAGGAGGGAAAGCATGCCCTTTAAATGACAGCATTATGTAATGAAACAGAATTTTGTAACATTATCTTGCCATGCCCAGGACATAACACTTCCCCCAACATACTACAGTCATTTCATGAATTAACCATCTTCACTCAATCCTATTATTTGTATGGGCAGAGGGCATGCCTTTCTTGCTTGCTGTATGCTTGTCTAGCATAATGCTTGGCCTAGAACAATTGCAATTGATCTGTATTTATTGAACTCATAACATCATTTTTATGGGTTTGATAGCATTTTCTTTAAAGCCAATTATCAAAGTACAGACTGTGTGACTCTCTGGAGCTGTTAGTGGCATTTGGGTCAAGGATCTAATGGTATTGAGATTCTACGCTTGGATGTCAAGACTGACTGTTTGCCAGAGCCAGGACAGCCCACGCCAGGCTGCTGTTCAGCTTTGGTTTCCTATCAAGTGATATGGTGGAGGTCTCTAAAGAACTGGAACTTCAGTATCTATCCAAATGACTCCAGGTTGACCCCGGCATAACACATGGCTGGTCTACATGATGAAATCAATCTACCAGAAATGATTTGACCAGAAGTTTGTAAGTGAGGAAGAGTGAGTGGCAGAGTAACTAGTTATTTATGCCACAGTATAAGGGAGTGTCTGTATAAATGATAACTCCTTAATACTACTATCCAACAAATATCCACAACTTTGACCATAGCCTACTCTGGACATCAAGAGTCTGTAAAAATAATAGAGCATAAAGTGATCAGTAATAGACTTTGTTTACATGTTGGGAGTCTACTAATAATGCTTTAAAATAATTTAGATTAAGTGCTTGTTATCAAATGCCTTTTCAAACCCACTATTTGCCTGGTCCTAGAAGGCCATATGGATAAAGCAATGAGTAAGACCAATAAAGTCCCTGTTACAGTTGGAATCTAAAATGTGCCTCCTCTTCTGGTTATTTATTTTTTGCCAACTTGACAAGCTAGAGTTATTTTGGAAAAGGGACCTTGGTTGAGAAAATTCCTCTGTCAGATTGCCTGTAGAACATTTTGTCAATTAATGATTGATGTGGAAAGGCCCAGCCCACTGAGGTAGAGCCACCCCTGGGCAGGTGGTCCTGAGTTGTATAAGAAAACGAGTTGAGTAAGTCATGGAGAACAAGCCAGGAAGCAGTGTTCCTTTGTAACCTCTGTTTCAGTTCCTGCCTCCAGGTTCCTACCTTGAGTTCCTGTGTTAGCTTCCTTCCCTCAATGGACTGTGTGACCCAGAATTTAAGCCAAGTGAACTCTTTGCTCCCCAAGTTGATTTTGGTATGGTCTCTAGCACAGGAACTAAGATAACTAAGATACTGCCTAGGCTCATACTTCAAACATTCGTACTCCAGCCGGTGGTACTATATTGGAAGGCTGTGGATTCATCAGGACTTAGGGTCTAGAATTGGAGGAGCCTTTGAAGGTCATAACCTGGCCTCTGGTTGTATTCTTGCTCTCTGCTTTCCGAGCTGCCACAATGTGAGGAGCCTTCCCCCACACACTTTTGTTACCATGCCTTCTGTACCACAGTGGACTGTAATCCCCTGAAGCTATGAACCAAGGTAAATCTTTCTATCCTTTAAGCTGTGTTTGTGGTATGGTCACAGCAATGTGGAAGTAACTCACATAGCTCTTGTTTTCACTGATAGAAAATTCTGTAGGGTGGAGAGTAGACAAATGTATCTATTAACATGACATGTCATTGTTACCCATGAGAACCATGAGGAGGAAATTAGAACAGGGTCATAAGCAGACAATAGAGAGGGCAGAATAGGCAGGTGCAAGATATGCATTGAAAGGAGGAGTGAGGAGGACTTTCTGATACCTGCAATATTGGGTTTACGAGAAAAGATTCAGTGAGTCGCCAGTGATTGGAAGCATTTGGTTACTGAAAATAAATTCTGAATGTTTAAACATCACCAACCATGTGGACAGCCCTTGACAATCCTGGCTATTATCAAACATCCAAGTAAGTGTGTTTAATAAACAACTGGATCAAGTTCATTACTCAGGTCAGAGAATGTAGCTCGTGATATATATTTAGGAGTCACAGGAGTAATTTAAAGTGTATTTAAAACCACGGGGTTACAGGAAATCGTTAAGGGAGTGTGGAGTGCACAGAGAATTTGGAGGAATGGTCCTGGAGCACGTCAATATTGACACCAAGAGTGTGGGAGAAGGACCCAGAAGAAGAGATAGGCAGGGGGCCAGAGAGCAACATGTGAGGCTGAGGGAAATTCCAAAGAGTGATAAGACCTGTAAACTTGGGGGAGAAAGTGGATTTTAAGGTAAGATCATCTAAAATGTTGATGACAAATGCTCCCCTAAAATGGAACCTGAGACTGACCATTGGGGTTTGTAAGTGGCCATTTAAAACCCTGCCTTGGAAATTTGCAAATAGGTGCCGTGGAAACTTGACTCTTCCTGAGGTGTGTGTGCTTCCTTGGAAGGACCTCTTGGTCTTGGCTTTCCCTTCATTCTCTTTTTTTTTTCATCTTCCTCCCTTGCTCCCCTCTCTTTCTTTTAACTTGAAATTATCTTCCTTATGCCATGAAACAGGTAACTTGTCCTAAGACCAAACAAGTTCTATTTTCAAGAATTCCCTATTCAAGAAGGCTGAGTGCTTGCTACCCAAATTGCAATGATACATGGGAGATTAGTGCAGTCCCGCACGAAGATGACATGCAAATTTGTGGAGCATTCCATATTTATAAAAATAATTAAACAGTTAAAGAAATAACAAAAGAAGTCTGAGCTTTGCTGCCTTCTATAATCACACTCAGTTATTCATTAGTTGGCCCCTTGTGTGACCATTTCTTATGTAAATGTATTAGGAGATAGGCTTGGGAATAGCTATTGTTTATATACAAAACTTATTTTTAAAAACGTGCAATCAAAGCAGGTAGAATTGAAGGTGTTCTTGAATTGTTTTAGGAGAGAGGATGCTGATATTTGGAAAGTGGTATTTGGCATAAACAACCTGGACCATCCGTCAGTCTTCATGCAGACCCGCTTTGTGAAGAGCATCCTGCTACATCCCCGTTATAGTCGGGCGGTGGTGGACTATGACATCAGCGTAGTGGAGCTGAGCGATGACATCAATGAGACAAGCTACGTCAGACCTGTCTGCTTACCCAGCCCGGAGGAGTTTCTAGAACCGGATACGTACTGCTACATCACAGGCTGGGGCCACATGGGCAACAAAAGTAAGCCAGGGTCATCAGCGATGTTTGGCTTTTCAGCTCCTGACGGGAAAGTGCCAGGCTTCCTTCTAGGCTTTGGCTCCCATTTCCCTGGTAAATCACAGCCACACAGGGTAACTACTTTGGCTGTGTCATGTTCTCCCCTCTAAGCCAATTGTAAAAATGAGCAATCCATCATGACACATAAAACTGCCCACCGGAGATGCAAACCTAAGCCCCCTTCCCCACAGCTCTGACTCATTCTCCAGGGAGCTACCACCAATGTTTTGGATCTTCCCTGCAAGATGAGGCCTGCCAGACATCCCTGCTAGACAGAGCAATGGTTTGGGCTATCTCTTGGCAGAATTTCTCAGAGACTGTGTGGAATAATTAGGTAATTCCCTTTCTGCAGTCTAGCTACACGATCACATTTTCAATTCCGTAATTGATTTATTCTTATCTACGTATACAGTACATCCTTCTACAAAGAAATGTGATACATATCTTACTATTTAAATTGCTTAAATTTAGCTTTATAAAAAATGCTTTGGACACAAAACACATAGAAATGAGTTTTGTTAACCACTTACTCTCAACCTCCCTAAAGGACATTTGCATGTAGTTTGACCTATTTAAAGTTTAGAATAAGAACAGAATCAACAAAATAGTTGCATCAGCTGCAGGAGCAGGTCATGCTTCTCAGACTGGTGGTGGATAGTGGCCTCCTAGCATCTTGCTATTAACCATAGAAACACCAATTTAAAGGAACTTGTTTTCTCCTTGAAATTTAGTCAGGTATTTTTTGAGCTGTTTCTTTTCTGTAAGGCTAAAAAAATAATAATAATAATGGGAAGGAAATGCTTATAGACATCAGTGGCTCTTTCAAGAAGATCTTCCTGTAAGAATTTTGAAGGCAGTATCACCTTACAATGCCACCATTCCTATACATGTTGCTTTTTAAAAACCATAGTAGCATTGTAATGAAATGAGCAGAATATACTTCATAGTGTCTCTATCAGTATTCTTCACAAAATATTTATATAAACTTACAGTAATAGGATACTGTAGAACTTAAACAGCAGTTAGGGGAGAGGATGAAGAGCAGGCAATGGAATTCATTCAGGAAGATCCCACTGACCTTAGCCATTCTAAGAGACCTAGTCTCTTTCATGGAAGGAATGAGATAACCCTGTAACACAGGATTGTAACACAGAGGAAAAGCATTGTGGTCCAGAAGATGCTGATGGTATGAGCCTCGCCTACCCTCATGTGCAGTGCATGTTGGCCTCTGTCTCATCATCATCATTATCATTCTGATGACTTGCTAAACTTGTACATCACATTTATTTTTCCCCAAATGATGAGTATTATTAGCACTACTTCCCCATGGCTGCTTCAAAGAATAATCTGTATGATGTTTAGGATGTCCAAATAAGATTTATGAGGTTTTGCTTGAAGACAGCAGCTATTATTCTTGAAAACCTTTAAGCAAGACAGGAATCATATATTTTATCTGTTGTAAGCAAGAAATGATATCATCCCTTTCAAATCTTTCTGTCATAGCCTCTAGGATTAAAGATTCAACACCAGAACAATGGCCACAGGAACACATGTGAGGAGAGCCTCTCCCTGTGAGGGTCAGGAGGTTTTCTCTGATCCTAGAGAGCAAGACAGATATGCTGAGCCAAAAAATCTGCCTTGTTTCCCCCTTTTCATTGTTAAAGCTGATGCTTTTCCATAGCACATGACAAGGGTCAGGGGGGAAACAAAATCATTTCAACACTTCTGCTATACCAGAAAAATAAGGAGTTTTACCAGATGACTGCTATCAAATGTTCTCAATAAAAAATTGGGGTTTCCAATTTCAAGTCTCCTCCTTGAAAAAAATTTTTTTTTTTCCGAGACAAGTTTTCTCTGTGTAGCCCTGGCTATCCTGAAACTCACTCTGTAGACCAGGCTGACCTCAAACTCACAGAGATCCACCTGCCTCTGCCTCCCGAGTGCTGGGATTAAAGTTGTGCACCCGGAAAGTTTTTGAGATGATACTTAAGGGAAAGATATGGTTCTCTAGGTATATGAAAATATTCCCGTACTGTTGTTCATTTTGTATTTTGCTGGCCATACCTTTGAGTTACTTTTATGCACTTGTGCATTTCTGGTTTCTTCTTCTTGAATGCAGTGCCCTTTAAGCTGCAGGAGGGAGAGGTCCGCATCATTCCTCTGGAGCGCTGCCAGTCCTATTTTGACATGAAGACCATCACCAGTCGGATGATATGTGCCGGCTACGAGTCTGGCACTGTGGACTCATGCATGGTAAGCTGCCTTCTGACTGTGCAAGCCATTGGAGGCTTCCATGACCTTGGTGAGCTTGCATAGCTCATTATAAGTCATGTGTGACCCCTTAGGAATATCTGTGAAAATGGCTCACCGCCAGGAGGACAGTTGTATCAGTCCATCTCCTTTGATCGCTTTGGTGGCTAGGACAAGACTAATTATGAGGGGCAAGTGGAAACCACAGGTTTAAATCCACTGTCATAAGCAGCAGGGGAACACCTGGAGAGTACAGCAATGTGTCATTGCCAGGTATAACCATGAAGACATTAGGATATACAAGGCCACCACCACCCTGCCCCCAGTTCCCATAGTGTGTGAAAGGAATTGTCTCTAATGTGACAACCCTGACATTACTTGAGATCTTGTGGCCCTCATTTGATTACCAGACATTTGTCAAATGTCACTGCCTCCATCCTTAGACAGGGTGTATGGCCATAGCAATCTGCAAAGTGTGCCTCTTAGCAGTGTCGGGAAGTGTTTCTCTGTTTTAACATTCGTCAGCTATTGTGCTGAACTGTCTCTGGGTTTCAAATGGGTAGGTACACAGAGTAGCTGGCAGGGGAGGTGCAGGTACCGGGTGTTCTGCACAGCTGTTCTGTTGCTTCAGAGTGATCAGAGTGCTCCTCAGACTTCAGAATGAAACAGAGCTATGCCTGTCATTAGCCCTGCATAATTAAATGACATTTGTGATGGTTCAGTAGAACATCTTGTACAAGTGATTAGTAGGGGGCGGTGTTTTGATTTGCCACTTGGGATAATTTCTACTTTTATAAGATCAATCCAATTTAAAGAATAAAGTTGTTTGAGATAATTCGTTTTGATACATCAAAATTTTTTTATGACATTTTGCTATTTGCAGGAAGCAACTATGAGTTTCCAGACCTTCTGATGTGAACAAAAATCTCTTTACTAACTACATCTATCCCTTTAAAGCTCAGAATCCATCATGTTTATTGGGAAGTCCTGTTTATACAGTAGAAAGCAGACACCTTCCCAGGCTTATGCTAGAAAACTGTTGAAATTTTCCAACTCAGTTAAGCTGGTTTGGGTTTATTGTACCCTTAGGATGATAGACCTGCCATTAGACCTCTGAAATCCCACGACTAACAGCAGTTGCTATTTCTTGCAGGGAGACAGTGGTGGGCCTCTGGTTTGTGAGCGACCTGGAGGACAATGGACATTATTTGGCTTAACTTCCTGGGGCTCTGTCTGCTTTTCCAAAGTTCTGGGGCCTGGAGTGTACAGCAATGTGTCTTACTTTGTTGAATGGATCGAAAGACAGATATATATCCAGACCTTTCTCCAAAAGGAACTCCAAGGATGATCAGAGACTTTGCCAGAAACCCACACAAGAATGGCCCTCTTGACTGCGAAGAGTGTCCCACCAAGTGCTGTACGGATGGGCTTTTCATGGGCAGGGTGCCCAACATGCACTGCAAGACCTCTTGTTTGCCTCAGATCCATTTTACTCAGCTTTTGATTTTTTTTCAACTTTATCATTCATTACGTTCATGACTTCTTTTAAGAGCACAGACCAAAGTAGGTTTTGTTTATTTTTCCTTAGGCTAGCCTTGAATGTAGTGTGGAATTAGCAACCCCATAGAGACAACATTTGGAGCTCTATGGTAACAAGTTATAGGAAGTTCCTTTTCATACTGTCACACCAAACACACAGGGACACTGATGGGTCTCCTCCAGGCTCGGTTCAAACACTGTGGCATAGGGGACACATTTCAGAACTGATCCTGGAAACTGGCTTTCAATTCATAAAAAGCCAAGATAATGTACATGCTTATATTCTTTACCAGACTCTTCTAAATAGTTTGGGGGAAACTATGAAAGGCAGAGAAAAGACCAACCGTATTGATCTAGACAGTTGAAGTTGCAACACATACAGAATGTAAAATTCTCTGGCCATCAAAAATAACACTCAGAAGTATAATTCTATCCTTTTTGCATTCAAATTAAGATGGTAATTCCATAGAAAATCTCCACAGGACTTTCCCCATTACTGGGGATTTTTAGTCTATGTCAGTTATATGACGGAGATTTCAAAAACTAGGTCATTCTTGGCGAAATATATTGTTTGCCTATATGAAAATGAATGAGAAACTTCTCCACTTTGGAGACAAGCAATTAAAAAGAAGAAAATCAAAGGTATCCCACCCCCAATTAAATCTGAAAATTAGTCTTCCTGTGTTCACCCAAACCAGAAATGTCACAGAAATCTATTTCAAAGTGGAGCAAAATGTTGCATGGAGCAAAACATTTTGCAATTTCCCCCAATGATGTCTAACATCTGGTATTGCCATTTTGCCTCATTGATAATTAAAACAAAAATTGAAAGATGTTTTTAAGCACTGGGCCACTTTACGCAAATCAATTTCCGAAGCAATTAGTGGTTATAAGTATTTTTTTCCACTAAAAAGCTTCCAAACACAAAACTTAATACATACCTAATTTTATTAGCCAGACATCAACTATGTAACATCCAAATGCCTTTTTGAACAAGTAGGATGTACTATTAACCTTCACCAGCAACCAGCCTGCCTCAGCATTCCAAACAGGGACTACCTGCAGTTTTATATGTGTATTGTGTATGCTTTTTCTATGTGTCAATACAGTTCAAATCCAACAAGTTGTTTCAACCCTTATTTTTCATGTTATTCACCTCTTGTCCTGGAACTTGTTAGAAAGAGCACCTGTACTGGGTTCACAACGGCATGAAGGTTTAAGACCATTGGTCTGTTTTGTTACAATTGTTGGCACATAATTAATGAAGCAATTTTTTTAGCCTTGATGAACTTATATTCAGTAAAATGGACATGTTGGGGTTATTTTCAATAATTATGAATACAAATAAAATGATAATTTTTTCTTCTTGAGGAATATGGATGGAATATAGATACCACCTTCCAGGAAAGTGGTTGGTTATCTCTCTTATAGCACAGTGGCACCCAGTTTCTTGTCAGCCAAAATTTACATGTTATATATATATCTCACTCTCACAGGAACCTGATCTTTCAGAGTAGTAACAACTTCATCTTTAGTCTTATGAGTTGCTAATCGTATTAATTGTTCCTGGAGTACTCCAAAACATCAGCCTTGCTAAGAGAACATGAGTCTACAATGCCTGCGTGCATTTTTGCAAGTTTTCCTACTCTTTAGAAAACTTTTATAATAAAATTATACCCCAAACCATTTATTATTCATTTTCTTGGATTCCTCAAAATTTGGTGAAATAATCTAATTATGAAAACACACCACACCACACTAGCTTTGCTAATTTTGCATAACATTGTTATTCTCTTGTAAATTTGACCTTTAAAAAGCTTTACAAAGATCTGAATCTCCTTAGCCTAGGGGTCAGGTGTTTTTTTTTTTTTTAGAAGTTTTCAAATTAAAAAAAAATAAAGTTAATCAACACGTAATTAAATGCAGCAATACTTTTGTAGCAAGATACACAAATGATTCCATCAAGTACATGAGTAGCTTCAGATTTTTCTAACACATTGAGTTTGCACCTAATTTATGAACAAAATTGTGAGGGTTCAATGCTTTCATATATTCTTATGGACAGATAATTCGCATCTTGGAAACGACCTTCTTCCACTCCTTTTTGGTATATCCCTTTAACGTTTAGATGAAAGCCTTTTATATGCATAGGAGCATGTCTTCAACGTTTATTTCAGGAATGGCGACCTCAAAGGAAGGAACTCCAGTTGCTATAGAGACGATGAATGAATGATATGATTTTTTTTCCCCATAAACAAAGAGGTCCAAACAGCATCCTGGCAAAGACATGCCTTAGAGTTCTCCTTCTCAGTCCTGACACCAATTATACCCACATTCAGGGAGGAGGCACGGGAGTGATGACAGCTTTCAATGAATATTATTTATTAAATAATTTATTTTAAAAAAATCTTAGGGAAGCAGAAGGCCACTTCCTTTAGCCACATGATATTGTCATACTTCCAAAAATGAGTCTATATAAAAAGACATTTAACAATAACAGGGAGGTACAGAAAGTGACCAGGACAGTACAAGCAGGCAACGGTTAGGCCCTGAGAATAACAGTTGATAAGACTTTGCTGTAGACACTGACTCAGCACAGAGAGTCATGAAGGCAGTTCCACATGACGGGTAGGTGACAGCTTTCAGGTGAATACAGAAGTTTTGAAAGACTTCAGCGAGACTACATGACCTCACAGTAGCCAACTGACTCACCTGGGGTAAACTAGCTCCTAGGCACTAAATGAAGCCAGCGTCCACGATGTGTCACAGCAGGAAACTTGCTACAGACATTTCTACCCTTAAATACGTTAACTTTTTCTAAGAGCTTGGGAGTCCCACTGAGCATAACCTGTATCAGCCTCAACCCAGATCTCACTCTGTAGAGGCAACAAATGCAGACAGGCAGTTGAGCACTGTTACGACTACGAACTCTCAAATGCTCTCTGGAGGACTGTTTTGAAGATGATGGTCTCACGGTGGTGGGGGTATCCTCAGTTTTGGAACTCGGGGGGGGGGGGGGGGTTGCTCACAGTCTCTAGGCTCAGCTGATTGTGTTTCATGACCTAGTTGTCTCTATCCGGATTGACAACACCTGCATGTGGGGAGCTCATGTGTCATCTCATCACAGTAGACAGAGCAGAAGGCAGCCTGGTTCTGTTGGACACACTAGCCCTCTTCTTTTCCTTTCCTACAAAGGCTCTACTTCAGCACAGTGCTGAAACAGGGGGATGCTAACCACCTGCAGTCAGGGACCAAAGGCTTCTTCTCACGGGAAACAAAAGGTTCTTGGGGATTTGTCTTTAAATTAATGAGTTTTCCTAATAAAGCAGGTTTTTTTGTTTGTTTGGTTTTGGTTTTGGTTTTTTGAGACAGGGTTTCTCTGTTTAACAGCCTTGGCAGTCCTGGAATTCGATTGGTAGACCAGGTTGGCCTTGAACTCAGAGATCTACCTGCCTCTCCCTCCCAAGTGCTGAGATTAAAGGTGTGAGCCATTGTCTGGCTATAATGAACCAGTTTTAAAGTACTTTTTTTTCTCTTAAAGAAAATTCAGGTTATATCTCACTTAAAGCATTTTCCAAATGCATGAGACTTACCTATAAAATAAGTATATTTCAAATGATAATTATCCTTTGATAATGTTTGCATTTATAAGACAATTAAAATTCCTTTACAAAATCTAAAAAGTCTCATAAAACAACATATGATCCTGAATTAAATATTCCACTTCCCTGAACTCTGCTGAGGTCAAACACTATCCCTTGTTCACAAATGTGCACACAGGTATACAATTGCGGACATGGTGTTGGTTTTTCCATGCCTAGCAAAATGCTGATATCCCTTGTACAGAAACGCAAGTGATCCTCACTTTTGAGAGACACCTCTTCTGAATCCTTCCAAATTGGAAAGATTTCCTGCAAGGCTAAGCAGGGTATCCTGTGCTTTTAACATGCTAAAGGTTCAGGCATCTTCGAGGCTCCCAGTTCAGAGCAGCCGAGGTCTAGCACAGTCTCACATGTAGGTAAGTTTTCTTGCTCAACCGCACACGCTGTTGTTGACTTCATTGCAAGGGCAGCAGAGGGGCCAGTCATAGGTCCTCCTGACTCGGCAGCTGATTGGCGGGCATACGGAGATGCCACCTGATTGATCTTTGCAGTCCCTCTCCACTTCTTGAGAGCTTCTGCTCTCTTCTCTGGAGCTAGTCTGTCAAAGTACTTGGCTCTCAGAATTGGAGATGGAAACACGGATCCCTGAAGAACTCGATATAGAAACCTAGGTTACAAAGACCACCACAAAGTTAAGTTCACTTCCAATGCATCATGGGAATCATTGGAAATATTAACCAGCTTAAAAAAAAAAAAGTAAAAGAGTCTGGGAGGCACTTGGCTTCTGAGAAAGAGGAAGGTAAGTAAGCTATAAAATGAAGATTAAAATAATATTAAACCTGGTGTGTGTAGGGGGTGAGCCTGTATAATTCCAACACTTGGAAGGTTAAATTAGAGGGATAGCCATGAGTTCAAAGCTAGCTTAAGCTTGACAGTGAGTTCCAAGTCAGCTTGGGCTGCTATGCAAGACCATGACTTTAAAATTCAACAATTAAAAATATTTAATAAATTAATATTTGTAAGGCACTCAGCAAACAATAAGTACTCTTTCTGCTTGCCAAATAAGCATAAAGCACCCCCTCTTCTATTGTTACAATGACAGTAAATTTCAACATGAGTTTTGTAGGGGGAAGCATTTGAAGCAGAGAAGATTCTTCTGCATAAGTGAAGATGGCGCCTGTTAGCAGATCCATAACCCTTGCCCACCGGAAGTTTCTTTTGGCATGAGATAGATGATATGCACTCTAACAACATAACAGGAGAGCCTTTAGGAAGTGAGAAGGCTACGTGGGGTTTGCTCCTCTAACAATATAACAGGAGAGCCTTTAGGAAGTGAGAAGGCTATGTGGGGTTTGCTCCTCCGCCTTTGCCATATGTGGATGAAGCTTTAAGGTTTCATCCTCGAATGAGAATCACCAAACCTGCTGGTTCCTTGACATGGGATTTCCCAATCTCCAGAGCTCTGAATTAGTACATTTCTGTTTGTGAGTTACCTAGTTTGGGTATTCTATGGTAGCTGCAAAACACAGACCAAGGCCAGGGCTCAGGGGACAGAAGAGAGAATGATAGGGCATGGTAGGTCCTTGGATAAGCAAGCCCATGAGGCCAAGTTTCTTTCTTCCTGTGAACTGTCAATCAGATTGGACTTCTCCATGACAGAGAAATAGATGTCTTCACTTGCTTAATCTAGTTCTGTTCTACGGGACAATTGAAACCAATATTTTAGCTAGCATGTAGGGTGGCTTCCTCACTACTGAGCAGAGCGGTCTGCCATTCATTCTTAGGATGAAGTCTGTGATTCCATGTACTTACTCTCTTGAGGAGAAAACAAATTACATACCTGGGCAGAAGAGCTATGCAGGTTGTAAGAACACAGACTAAGTAGAACACTGGATCCAGCATGTGCTTCTGCATGATCCAGTAGGGGTTGGAGGGTGGGTTGCAAGTCACACACAAGGCTCCAAAAGCCAAGGCAAAGAAAAAGTACGACAAGATGCTCCCAACCATGACCAGCATGTGGATCCATGTCTGTAAGACAAGATGGGCCAGAAAACGAATGCTCACTGGTGGCGCACTGCAACCTGGGCAAACCTGCTCCATTAAAGAAACAGAACAATAAGCACCGTGTGGCCCATTTTACAGACCTTACCACACAAAACACAAGATACCAAGGGCATAAGGGAAGAGCGTCATTCATGAGTGGCTCATGCCACTGTTTGAATTCTACAAAATTAAATCAAAAGCCAATGGGCGATTCTGTTGACTGGTTCAGTTTGCACTGTCCATGTACCAGGAGGTGTTTGGATTTCCTTTTCCATTTTCTATATAGTCACTTGTTGATTTGATTATGAAATCATCTTTATTCAGTAATCTTCAAAATTTAGCCATTCACATACCGAGTAGCTACTACATTTGCTTACCATCCTCTTAATCGCCCTTACTCGGCATTCAAGTGGCTTGCAGCTCTCTACTCCCTTTCAAGGAAACAAAGTTCAATGAATGGGAGGGATGCTTAGACCTCTTAGGGTAGAAGCTTGTAAGAGTTGCTGGGCCTTCTTCCATGTTACTTGGTGCAGCATGCATCATGGCCAGCAGGGTACATGCTATTGCTGCCATGGACTTGGGCTTTCCTTCTATGGGAAACACCCTCTTTATAAATCTCTTTTCTAGGACCGCAATTTCCAAATAAGGTCCAATTCACTCTTACTTCATTTCCAATTATGCAAAATATTTCCCCACAGTAGACATCTTCACAGGAATCACAAAGATTGCTCAGATTTGATAAAATGTAGAAGCTGCTGAGAAAATGTTGCTAACTCCTTGATTAAAAATGGCACGCCCCAGAACAATGGGTCCTTCCTACCCTCCCTCCCTCTCTCCCTCTCTCTCTCCTCCCTCCCTCTGTCTCTCCTTCCTTCTTTCCTTTCATGTTTTTCTTCTCAAATGCTCTCCCTTCTATTTAAGCACTAGTCTAGTTTTTTCCCCCTTTTATTATGTGATTTTGCAAGTGAGATGGTGACATCACAGCCCGTGGTTGTAATGGAGTTGGCACAAGGAAGTGAATGCAGAGAACACTGGGTAAAACTGCCCAGGAGCCAGGCGGGAGGCAGAGGCAGGTGGATCTCTGTGAGTTCGAGGCCAGTCTGGTCTACAGAGTAAGATCCAGGAAAAGGCGCAAAGCTACACAGAGAAATCCTGTCTCAAAAAACCAAAAAAAACACAAAAAAACAAAAAAACAAAAAACAAAAACAACAACAAAAAAAAACAACTGCCCAGGAACTGGGAGGTGACCACAACACAGTGAGCAATGTGAAGGACACATGTTTCAGGCATTCAAAGAGGCTGACTTTTTTTTTTTTTTTAAATATTTATTTATTTATTATGTATACAGCATATATGACTGTAAGCCAGAAGAGGGCACCAGATCTCATTACAGGTGGTTGTGAGCCACCATATGGTTGCTGGGAATTGAACTCAGGACCTCTGGGAAAGCAGTCAGTGCTCTTAACCTCTGAGCCATCTCTCCAGCCCGAGGCTGACTTTCTTAAAAAGGGACTGCAGCCGGGCGGTGGTGGTGCACGCCTTTAATCCCAGCACTCGGGAGGCAGAGCCAGGCGGATCTCTGTGAGTTCAAGGCCAGCCTGGACTACCAAGTGAGTTCCAGGAAAGGCGCAAAGCTACACAGAGAAACCCTGTCTCGAAAAACCAAAAAAAAAAAAAAAAAAAAAAAAAGGGACTGCAAAGTCCCTGAGCTCTGGAGCACATGCCCTGGAGGACAGACACTTCTGTGAGCTGCACTTCTATGGGGACACTACAGCATGTTTAGCTTTGATTCTACCTCTTGGAGAGAACACGCCACACCGAGCATAGCGTTGGCAACATATTCCTCCCATGCTAACGCCTGTCACTGAAGCCAGGGAGACAGGATCTCATCCCCAGCAGCTAGGACTGTAGCAGTGGGGCAAGAGCAGGAGAAAATGCCTGCCGCCGGTCCAGACCGCTGTGTATCCTGACAAGCACGTCCGTTAGTTAGTTCCTGCTCTCTGGCCCTCCGCTGACTCCTTGGGATTTTGTTTGTGGGACCATGGTTCCCCAATATAATTTTCAGAACATTTCTATTTGCTTAGGTTCTCCAGAATGGACTGTTGTTTCTTTCCTCAGTGAACCCCAACTGTATGCATCATGTGTCAGTTCCCCTGGATCATACAAACCACAGAGGCTGTGGCATGTCTTTGGGTAGAACCAAAAGTATCGCTAACAACTGTGTAAAAGTTCAACAGTTGCTCAAAGGAAAGCCAGCATAGTTTTTGAATTTCCTTTAGCTAATCTGGTCTTTGCATATATTAACATTTTAATCACATCTGGGGCTTAGAAGATTTGGTTATAGGTCATTATGCATAAGTAAAGCAAGTTATGACAAAAATAGATATTTGGTCCCACTTTATGACTTGTTATAAATAATTTGATAATATGGCATTGTATGTTTTGAATCACAACTTCATCCAGTGACTTCCTGTTTGAAATCCATTTACTTACCCTGATGATAAGGATACTGAAGTGGTCAGATGTCTACCTACTCACTGACGTGGGTTTTTTGACTACTTATTCTGAGCCAGTCTTATCTGTCACAGCGGTTTACATGGTGAACAAAACAGGCACGAACCCTGAACTCACACAGATTATAGTTTGGTGCAGAAGATAAACATGAACCAGATAATCCCATAATTAAATGAATAACTATAAATTATTTTTAAGCTTACAGACCAAAGCAAGAGAATAAAATGAGGTACCAGGTGATACAGGGAAGGTTCTAGAGGAAAACAGTGCTTCCTAAGGTACACAATGATTTAAAGTAATATTTTGAAGTTAGTAAAAATTCATGAACACAAGGGAAAACTAAGTATCTCCACTGACAGATAACAGGAAGTAGCGAGGTTCTCATGTGATAATGAGCTCAACGCATCTGAGAAGCTGAAAGAGGGAAAATGTGGTGCCAGCCCTTGAGGAAGGAAATGAAGTCGGGCAGAGGTTAAGAGTCTCACTGTGCCGGGCAGTGGTGGCACACGCCTTTAATCCCAGCACTCGGGAGGCAGAGCCAGGTGGATCTCTGTGAGTTCAAGGCCAGAGCTACAAAGCAAGATCCAGGACAGGCACCAAAACTACACAGAGAAACCCTGTCTCAAGAAACCAAAAAAAAAAAAAAAAAGTCTCACTGTGTGAGGTCTGATGAGCTTTATTAGGGTTTTCAAATTCATCCTAAGCATAATAAGAAAATATAAAGGATCTTTGCCCAAAGAAACAAAAAATATTTTGTATGATCACAGGTTATAAAGTCCTCATTTACTAAAGTTAACAGAGTGAGGTTATGGCACAGAATGTCGTGGACTTTAGGGCAAAGCCATTAGCTTGGTCTAAAACCTACTGAGCACAGCTGGTGTTTTCCTATCCATGGACCCACACCTCTATGAAGTACCCACCGGCGACAGAAACAAAGCCACACACAGGCACTTTTCACTTTCCCTGGACTCGGCATCATGGCACCCAGTGACCCTCAACTTTTTGCTGAGTGACCCTTTCTCTATAGTGCCATTACAGTTATCAGCACTGAGCTTACAGCCGCAGAGGGCTTGGCGGGTCCACGACCAACAGAAGACACACCCCAGGCAGAGGGAAATCACTCACCAAACTCTTGCTTTCGATCACTAGATGGAGGAGAATGATGAACAGAGCTGCTGTGTTCAGGGGATTCCCAAATGTAAAGATGTCAATGTCAGAGCCCTGGTAGGTCTACAAGAAGAGAACAATAGGCACTGAGTATGAGGAATGGCACACACTTGGTGGTGTAACACCATTTTATCTATAGCTCAAATGTGGCTTGAATACTCTCTATAATAATTCAATTAACTAACCGGTCACTTAGGAAAAATGAACAGTCTCAGGAAAGAGACTGACTCTCCCAGATAGGCTATCTATCTACGTTTTGAACTTGTAGATGGAATTCTCTTCATCCTGAATCATCATTGATCTCTTTTGTTCATAGTTCAGCTCCTAAAGACACACAAACACATCAAATCCGTTCCATGTAAGAAATCACTGCAGCAGCAGTTGTGACTCTCCTAAGCTTACACTTGTAGGTAAATATCCCCTCCCTCTCACCTACGCATTGTGAAGTCCTTGAGAATTGCCAGTTCTCAATTCTCTGTTCTCTCAGTCTCCTTTTCTGAATGCACGTCCAGTTGCTGTGTATAAATTCCTCTGGCAGAGCAATATAGCGAGAATACTCAAGGGAGCTAATTCAAGTAATTTCATTTGAACATGGTGCAGAAACTGCCAGCCTAGTGAGTATCATCGTTTTTACCCTCAATGCTGTCAACATACTCTGTGATCACACACGTGTTTCTTTCTGGAACAAGATGCAGACAGCTGCGTGGCTCTAACATGCTTGGCGCCAGCTAAACTTTTAAAATGAATGAACTTTTATTCATTCTTTGCTTAGTTCATTTCTTCTTAACTCATCTGTAAAATGTGGTTTTTATTAAGTTCTGAAGATATGTCTTACAGGTACTTAAATTTGATACTCTGAGTCTTAGCCTGATAGAATTAGCCTAATACTCACTAATAGAAGCTCTTCTATTTCTGAGATTGCTCGAGGATTTTTGGCTAATGTATTTATATGGCCAGAACTTAAATTTTATTTAAGCCACTGACAAAAAATTAACGGATAGTTTAGAGTTAATAAGAGACCCGAGAGAAATCAACTAGGTACTTAATTGACTCCATCACGTAACATATTGTGAGGGGTTATACATCAGTCAGCTGACAGCCGACTGGAAGCAAAGTACGCAGAAGCACCATCGAGCCATTAAGGGCAAACACAGGGGCAAACGAAGACTTACAAAGTAAGGCACGAAGAAGCAGACCAGACTTTGATAGAAGGCATCCAACAAGGTGATCCAGAAGGTGAGGGGTAAGTATGCCTGGAAATGAAACACAGATTGGAGAGAGAGAGAGAGAGAGAGAGAGAGAGAGAGAGAGAGAGAGAGAGAGAGAGAGAGCAAAATTAACAAGGGTCAGAGCAAAATAACCATCCTCTGGTCCCTCGTTCTCTATTTCATAATGCCTGGTAGAAGAATGCAGGCCGTGAGCTAAGACAAGTTCACTGTCGGATGTGGCGGGAGAAGTAACAAACCAAAGGAACTTCTATTCCACGTACTTGATCCATTTTTTTTTTTTAAAATCTAACTTTATTTTTAGCTTTTTGAGAGTCTTCCACACTGATTTCCAGAGTGGCTGGAGCAGTTTGCAATCCCATAAATCGTGGCTGCAGCTTCCTTTTTTTTCCTCTCCAGCACTGGTTGTCAGCTTTTTTTTTTTTTTGCTCTTAGCCATTCTGACTTGGGTAAGATACATAAATGCATACATGTGTGCATACATATACATACATATATATGTATATATGTAACGATAACAACTAAAGGAAAAGAGGTCATGATTTTGTGAGGAGAGGGAGTGGGAATGGGAGAAGTTGGAAGGAGGAGAAGGAAGGGGAAAAATGTAATTATGTTTTAATTAAAAAATACAATCTATTTTATCATGGATCAACATGTGTGTACTCTTGCATGTGTGTGTTGTATGTATATGTGGGCACAAGCATGAGCATGTGCTCATGTGCATTTGTGTGCCTGCACACATATATTGTGTTTGTGTGTGTACGTGTGTGTGTTTGTGTGCATGAGTGTGTGTGCACAGTGTGAGTGTTTGTGTGTGTGTGTGTGCTGCTTCTGCTTGGGACTGACTGAGCTATGGGCTACACATGTAAAACATGTACTCTGCCACTGAGCTACGCCCCTAAGTCCTTCTGGATTTAGTAAATACCTGAAGCAGGGCTAGTTAGTTGTAGTAACTCTTCACGTCTATTGATCAGAAAGCACTATTCAAATACCGATCCAAATCCATCACTTTTCTTTGCTTACACTATTCCTCCCCTCCCCCCTTACCATCAGATCTATCTATGAATGACTGGATAGCCACCTTAATTGCCTGCTACGCTTTCCTCTGTAACCCTCAACCAATCTTCCCATGTGTTACAATGTGAATATAAAATCTCCTCCAATCATCTCATGTCTTTCAAACTTGACCCCAGTTGCTGGTCCTGTTTCGAGAAGTTTTGGAATCTAAGAGCGAGACCTGGCTGGCAGAGGTAGGCCAGCTCAGCTCTTCTTCTGCCTGCCCAAGTGCTGAGACTTGACTCTCTCTGTACATCTGTAGCCCACCCTCATTGCTCCTCCATCCCGTCCCTTATGACATGACCAGTTACAAACAAACGTTAGGTAAAGTAAATCCTTCCTCATTAATAGGCTCTGTCAGGTATTTGGTTATAATAACGAAAAAAAATGAAAGAAAAAAAAAGAGCTACAGAACTAGCAGAAGGTTCTTGGGACAAGAACTAAAATCGTCAGGGAAATGCAGATTAAAACCAATTTATGATTCTATTTCACATTAGTCAGAATGGCCATGATCAGGAACACAAGCAACAGCAGAGGGCAGCGTGGATATGGGGAGAGGGGCATTCTTATACACTGCTGGTTGGACTGTAAATTAGTGCAGCCTTGTTGGAAATCAGGCTGGTTTTTCAAAAAACTAGAAATAGAACAAGTGTATGACCCAGCTCTAGGACTCCCGGGAAAACCCCAACGGACTTTGTATCATACTTCAGAACTACATGCAACAGAACATCCATGTTCATTGCTGCTGAATTCACAATAGCTAGAAAATAGAACTAACCTAGATGTTCATCAACTGATGAACGGATAGTGAAAATGTGGTGCATGCCCACAGTGAATATTGCTCCAGAGAAACAAAATCATAACATTTGTCAGTAAATGGATGGAACTTCCAAAAAATGATACTAAGTGAGGTCACTCAGGCTCAGAAAGACAAATGTCACATGTTCTGTCTCATGTGGTTTCTAGTGTTGACTCTCGTTTTGTTTGATTAACTTGGAATGCATGTGGAAGCCAGGTAATGAGAACGGGACATTGAGTAGTGGACACATTAAAGGAAGGAAACTGGGAAAATAAAAACTACTGGGACTGGAAAGATTCAAACATGGAGTGGGTAGGGGACGGGGAAAGGGTGAGGGAAAGATTGACCAAAATGAAGCATGTATGAAAACGTTATAGGGAAACCTATGACCTTGTAACCCAAGTAAAAAATACAATCAGAAGGAGAGTGTATACAGGTTCCATGAAAGAACAGGGCGTGCTCTGGGTTAAAGGGTATAAGTGGGGATGGGGGTGGGAGACACGGCAGCATAGGGGGTAAAGGGTGATTCAACCAAAATTGAAGATGGAGAAGTCTTAAGGAAAGTCACTACTTTGTAAGCTAATTTAAAAATAAAATACACATATTTAAAAGCAATTTGAACAAAAGTACCCTGCATGGGCAGACAGTGCTGCTCCCAGATGGCATAGTTTACTAACTGAAAAACTCAGTGCCAGGCACAGGATACTTTCCTGTGAGTTCTTAGTCACAGGAGCTCCAGGGGCCCCCAACACAACATAGGCTACTCCATTGCTCTCGGTTGTCACCATAATTAGAGGGTAAGAGCCTATTGCTGAAGCAACCACTCACTTTGGCTACAAGGCATAAATAAACCAACCTCAACTGACCAGGAAACCTTCTCTTTACTGACAGTGCCAGATGCTATGCAGGCTTCCGGGAGAGAAAAGAAATCAATGATCTCAGCCAGCATGGGAGAGTACATGCTACAATACCAAGCTGCATGCTAACGAAGCATTCACTGATGCAACAGTGTCACGACAGTTTTGGGGATAAGCAACCACTTTCTGACTGGCTGTCTGTGTGCTCCAGGGGAGCGATTTCATGCTTGGCACTGTAAACCTGGGAGATCATAGGCTCTAGCTGGTAATCTACTGTTGTTATGTTAAATATCCATGCTGTCAGATTGCATTCTAAATGTTTATGTTGATACCTACAAATGTGTGCTGCTCTCAACTTTGGTCAGAGGTAGTGTTAAGAGTGAATGCAGAAAACCTTCACTGCTCTAATTGCCAAGTATATGTAACTCTGAGTGCTCAGCTATGGATGAATTATCTACGCCAACCTCCCCTCATCTAGGGCTTAGGGAACACCTAAGAAGGTTGAGTAGAATGAACGTAAGAGCTGGCGAATGAGGAGAGCTGGGAAATGCTGGCTTTTGGATACGATATGGCTGTTGGATGCATCTCCCCATAGCAACTGTAATTACATCCATAATATCAAGACCATCAAAATTCCACAACAGACGGGGGAGGGGTCCCTGAGGCTCCACGCCTAGTAGAGGAGCTACTGATGGTAGATGGCTGCTGAGGAAGTCACTCTACTTTGAGGACAGAGATACTAATGGATAGCATCATACCCATGTGCATATGGGCAGTACTAATTGGACTGGGATTACCAATAACGACAGAAAGATGGAAAACATGGAGTTGGGTGGGAAACCAGGTGGGAGCACTCGGGGAAGTTGAAGTAATGATGGGAGGGTATGATAAAAATACATTGCTTAAATGTACAGAGTTGTCAAAGAATAAATAAAAATGATATATGTATATGTGTGCATTTATATACGTATGTATGTGTATATATACATATATATCCAGTACACAGTACCAGCCACTAGATTTTTCCAAAAATATGTTAGCTCACGACATTTTCCTAATTGATCAAATTGCCTCATTCCAGTCACTCCAATGAGTCCTCCTGCATCTCCACTATAATTGAAGTTCCTGTCCGTGACATATCAGGTCCAACTCAGTCTTCCCACTGGTTATGTTTTCATTTTCATCCCACAGCATGGAAACAGCCAAATCTGTTTATTTTCTCCAGGCCATCCTCCCTTCTGGGAGTTCTTTCTTAGGCCTCCCACATGACTGCTTCTAATTTTCTAAATCCAGGATACCCTCTCCTCATAGAGACACATCTGACTAACCTAAAGATATGCCCACCTTGTCATTTACCAGCATGGCATCATAGATAGTCTCTCCTATCAGGAAAGCTGCTAAGCATATTTTGGTTCTCAAAACTGATTGCAAGGTTCAGAGTGGAACTCTGGCTCTTGTATTCCAGTGATTAAAACAATGCTTCGCACAAAGCAGGTACTCAAGAACGATTTATTAGGTCAATTCGCTATTCTTTATTAATGTCCCTGTTTTCTATCCCAAGTTTGAAGAAAGAGGAAGACCAGGAGAGAGAGAGAGAGCAGCCAAACAACTGAAAATAGGTTCTCATGTCAGGGTCAAGCCTGATCGGATGATGGTGTGAGGATTCGTCCAGACCCAGTGATAGAAAGGAAGACCATGGCTTCTTTCACAAGTGAGCACAGGCAAGAAAGGAATTACAAATATCATAGTCCTGATAGTGTCTTTTCTTAACATGCCCTTCTTGGTCTTTTTTTCTCAAATATAAACAGAGACAGAAATGTCCTTGGGAAATCTTACTCTCCCCTAAGAATAAAGCTTTATTAATATGCCCGTGACTCATATACATTCTCCTGTTTTCAAAGGACTACACTTTGAACCTTTACATAATATAGTTCTCTTTCTGTCTTTGTTCTCTGCAAAATCAAACAATGACTTTGCTTCCAGCTTATAGTCCCCTGCATCTTCTTTTACTATTTCTTTACTGGAAATGATGGGGATAGTCAGTGTCTTTCTTCATCCAAGTGTTCATAAAATTCCAGCAGCAGCGTGGGACAACAGCAGAAGAAAATATTTCTGAGACAAAGGGACACCCAAAATGTCATTGGACCAGAGTGACTTGAAAATAAGTTAAAACACAACTTCATACTTCTGGGGTTGATCAACAAACCCACAATGAAGCCACATGAAGAAGATGACTTCCAGAAGTACAGAGTGGAAAGGTAAAGGAGAAGATAAACGGGAAGCTGAGGGCTAACCTACAGAATCTCATGAAACTAAAGGAAAAATTCAAACATGAAGCAAAACCAGAAATGAAGACCATGTGGTGGAGAACAGTGACAGATGTTGGGAAGGGAATCCTCTGACTGTGCCTCCACGTTCATAGCCTTTGGAAGAGAGAGATTCTGAAGGGAGCTGTAGAACGCCAGGACATGACCCACATATAACACAGAACTTCCTTGGAGGTCAAGTCCAAAGAAAGGACAGATCCTGGAAGGGAAATTCAATGGTACCACTTTTTTTTCTCATGTGCCTGTGCTGGGACTCTGCCCAGGAGATTATGCTTCGTCAAACTGGTTAGCTTACAGAACACTGTACACAAAGAAATGACCGCAGGATTCAAGGGCTGGAAGCAATGAGCTCAATTCTCCCCAAAACAAGACTGAAGTAGTCTATGCAAACTAGCCTGTAACCCTTTTCATCAAAAGCCTCCTCTCCACTCCTTTCCCAGAGGACACGTGACTTAGCTGGGGCCTGGGGTGCAGGACTGTGTTCAGTGGCTCCTACCATATAGTCCAGCATCTGGACTTGAACTAAAGACAGACAGGACAGCTTTAGGGAAGTTCACGTAGTTGTTTGGTTAGAGTGGACTGTGTGCTAGTAAAGACTTATGTGGATCTCTTCCTCCTGCAAGCTAAATGTGTGACTCCACTTTGTTGACTGTTCCTGTTAGGTGTGGACACTGAGTCATCCACCTACTCAGACATACTCTTTAAGTCAAAATAAAGTTTAAGAAAAGAAAGGCATCAATGAAAATCTCTTTCATCAAATTTCTGTTTCCAGACCGATTGTTCAAAATAAAAATACTGAGTTCTTAATGCGGCTGGAATTGTCACATGTGTTACCTTCCTTAGTCCTACAGCATTTCCAGAAGGTAAACAAACTGAGCCACGGGCAAGGTAAGGAACTTAACAAGGTCACACAGCAGCGACTCGGAATGTAAACACTCCATTATTCCCACGCCAAGATGATCTGTGCCAGTGTCTTCAAGGCAGCGCTTGGGGACCAGCACACGGATTTCTGATGGCTAATCTCACTCTGCTCTGCCCAGTACTTCCATAGAGAACCCGCCCATTTGCTTCAGCTATGGCCCTGGGAACGACACCCCCCCCCCCCCCCCCCCCCCCCCCCCCCCCCCCCCCCGCCGCCCCGAGAACTGAGCAACAAGAAGAAGACATTCCTAGCTCTGATGATAAATACCGGAGAAGGTGAATGACAAGCTCTAGGCTTAAAACATCAAAGCCAGACATTCCTAATTGCTTAGAGGAAAATACGCCGCTCCCCTTGCCCTGGACTTTGCAGCTGTGTGTGTTCACATGTTTCTCTTTTTCTTTAGGCTAGCCTGAGCTGTTTCTTCTCTTCTGTTCCTTTTTTTTTTTTGTCTTCTTTCTCTCCCCTTCCCCCTCTTCCTTCTTTTCTTTGTCCATTACAAATGTGAGAAGAACTCTGACAACCGGCCTTCTCCGTTCCGGAACATGTGACCACCCGGGGTGCTCAGTGTTGCCCATACATCGGTGTCTAAGGCTTCTTGCCTTCTTCTGTTGGCAGCCTCACAACGCTGCTCCTACAATAACACTTTCCATTCTGGCCTAAACACCACAGTGGGAAGCCCAAGGACTAAAGGGACCAGGAGAGCTCTTTCTGCTGCACAGCACAGAGGCACACCCCTCGGGCCTGGATGTCGGGATTAACTGTAACGCTCACCAGCTCAGCACCAAGAGCAGCTACTAAAGATGACTTCCTGTGCTTGACTTGCATCCCCTACAAAGTAGAGAAAATGGCAGACCCACCTTTGCGGGATATTGGGGCATTAGATTACGTGAAGCACTTAGAACAGTGTCTTCCATCCTGTGTAATGTCCTGTTACAACCAGGTTGGCCGTTATTAATCTTGTAAAAGATGAATTGGAAACAAGAATATTTAGACAGCCACCCCAGGCTGATAGGCTACCCTGCCTACTACCCACAATCCTCCAGGGAAGAGATGATCAGTGAGCGGCAGAAGCAGAGAAGCAGGAGGGGAGCCAGTGCTGAGCCAGGACCTAGAGATCAGTGGAGTGGAGATGGGAACCATTCAGATCACTTCCGTCCTGCGTGACACCAGACACTAAAGAATTAACTTGGACTTGGGAACCAGACTGAGTTGGTTTCACATCCTGGTTCTCTCATTTATTAACTCTGCCTACTTGGGGGAACTTACTTAATACATTTGGGGTTCAGATTCCTCATTTTGAAATGGGAAAAACACTAGATTCTGTCTCAAAAAGTGTCTGTGTGAAGATAAATGAGGAGGGAACGTTTGTTGGGTACTGTAGCAGGTTGTGAAGTAGGGTTTAAGAAACGTCAGCTGTCGCTAGCAAGGTAGCAAACTCTGAATTTCTTCTGATAAATACATAAGAATTTTTAAAGATTTACATTCATACCACAGGCCACTGACTTAACATCTGCCATGTGAGTATAGATCAATGGTTCTCAACCTGTGGGTTGCGACCCCCTTGAGGGTTGCATATCAGATATCCTGTGTAGCAGATATTTACAGTACAAGTCATAACAGTGGCAAAATTACAGTTATGAAGTAGCCGTGAAATAATCCTATGGTTGGGGGTCACCACATGAGGAACTGTATAAAAGGGTCCCAGCGTTAGAAAGGTTGAGAACCACTGGTCTGGAGCATTGAAAGCAAGAGGGCATGTGAAATTGTCCTGACTATCCTGTAATATGTGGGCCTGGCTGACTGGAAACATGCTGGCTTTCACCATGATATGCATCGGCTGACATGTTTCTGCCTGAACACTTACCTCTGATGGCTGACCACTCTGGTAAAGTTCAGGCAGCTGCAGGAGGGTCTCCGCGGATACATCCTTCTCCAACACGCCGTAAATGATGGGGGGAACAGAGGTGAAGAGGAGGTTGAAGAAGATCAGAACCCAATAGTCAGTCATAGAGGTTCCTGAAAACCCACAGAAGAACTGGTACCAGAAAAGGAGGTTCACATAGGCCTGGGGACACGAAGAGAGACATTCAGAGCTTAGAGACGTCAGTGCACACTCAGAACCCATCCCACACTGCAGTCTGAGTCCTGGGCCTGCAGCCTCTCTTCAGCTTTGTCAACCGCAGATGAATAACACAACTTGCCATGGAGTTCTTTAATTTTGTTTGCTTTTTAGTGAATATCTTAACAAATTATACACGTACTCTCACCAGCACTATGTGGTGCTGGCACTATTCAAAATAATTTAAACGATTTACAAAGAGTTCATTTAATCCTCATAACAACTTGGGAAGTACTGTTGCTCCCATCTTACAGATGATGAACTAAATATTTTTGTACCCTCAAAATACATATAGGCAAATCTTAGCCTCCAGTGTGACGGTGTTAGGAGGGGAGGTCAGATGGTGAGGTTATTAGGTCATCATGGTAGAGTCCATGTGCATGGGGTTAGCAATCATATAAAATGAACCTCTGAAGGCTTTCCTCTCCCCAGAGAGGATGTAGCCAGAAAGGACCACTACCAAAGCCCAACCACACCCACTCCCTGATTTCTGACCTCTGGCCCCTAGACTACTGAAAATTCCCTTTGTTATTACTGTGGTACTTCATTATTACAGGCTGAATAAACTAAGCCATTGAGACCCACAGAGAATAAGAAATTTGTACGAAGCTACCCAGCTACTTATTTGCCATATAAGTGGCAGAGTAGTAGATATTTTTGCTCCAGATAAAGAGAACCAAGACGGTTGTTCAAATGTTAAATGGTCTTAGTAATAAAACAAAAACAAAAACAAAAAACCCGGTACCGGATATTGGGGTGAAAGCTGAAAGATTGGAGAAGCAGAACAGCCAGCCACTAGTTCTTACCTCTACAAAATCTTCAGCCTAAAGAGAGTGAGTTCCTATTTCCTCACACCTTATATACCTTTCTCTGCCCTGCCATATTACTTCCTGGTATTAAAGACATATGTGCTTCCCAAGCAAAGGCATGAGATCTCAAGTGCTGGGATTAAAGTTGTGTGCCACCACTGCCTGACGTCTATGTCTAATCTAGTGGCTGGCTCTGTCCTCTGATCCTCAGGCAAACTGTATTAGGGTGCACAATATATCACCACACAAGGCAAGTGTCTGGCTCAGAGAAGACACGCCACACATTAGTTTTTCCACTTTTCTGCCCAGCCATTTCTTAGTAGTTAGGCAGAATGATGCCAACAGAATGGCCAACATCCAGTTATCTTGAGACAGAGAGGTTCCCAAAGCATGGGATTCTCCTGCTAAAATCAGATGGTCCCTAGACGAGGAGGTGGCTACCCTAGAGGTCAGTCTTTCCCCCAGCACTGTATCTTTAACTTGGCCAATGCAGCAAAACTCCTTTGCTTTCAAACAGGACAAAGGGATGAGCACTGGACTGAGGTCCTGGGGCTTGTTTCTTATTTCAGGGGATATCTGTTGTTTGGCTGTCATTTTCTGAACCTCTGCACACTCTGGTTTCATCCTGTGTACAGTCAAAATTACATTACCTCGGGACTAACCATCAAAAATAAGTTAGGGAGTGCCCACAACCTGTGATGAGTCTAACATATATTAAGAAATTGGGGGGGGGTTGTTAGTTACTTTAGCAGTCTGATTACTACTACTACTACTACTACTACTACTACTACTACTACTACTACTACTTTTATTATTATTATTGCAAGGTTTATAGCTCAGGCTGCCTTCAATTCCGTCTAGGGCAGCCACCTCCCTATGTTTCCCATGGAACCATCCAATTTTAGTCAAAGAAGATCTTAAACTTCTTTTACTCTGTGCGTGTGTGTGTGTGTGTGTGTGTTTTGTGGTGTATGTACACACACTGTGTGCAAGTGGAGACCGGAGGAGGGCATCCGTACCCTGCTCCATCACATTCTACCTCACTTCTTTGAGACGGGGTCTCTCACTGGCCCTGGAGCTATGCTGGCAATCAGTTAGCCCCAGTGACCCTGACTCCACCCACAAGAGCGCTATGGTTGCAGGAGCACATGAGCAAGCCCAAGTTTTTAACGTGAGTTCTGTGGATTTGAACTCAGGTTATCTCCTCTCTCCAGCTCTTACCCACTGCACCATCGCCCCAGCCTGACCTCAATATTCTGAACCTCCTGCCTCTCCACTGAGGATGTGAAGACACAGGGCATGTACTGCCACACAGGCAGTTTCTGCATGACGGGAATCTAGCACAGGGCTTTGGGCATGCTGCACAAGCGTTCTTCCAGTTGAACTTGCACCAAAGTGCAAGATTCTGTTGTCACTAGTATTGTGGATGCACCACACCACCTTAGCACAGGACCATGAAACTTAGGAAAAACTTTCTACCTACTGCTCATGGAGAGGCCTTATGGTCAGTTACTACAAATCTATCCAGTTTGGATACATGCAGTTTGGGGCATTACTCTGGGGTGTGAGCCCATAGTATTCATTAATAAGTTGTCTGACATCAAAGAAACACAGTCTCAGAAATTAAGTCATTTTAAAGACTTCTGGTCCTCATTCAGTTCTCTGTGACTTATAATGTAATTTCTGTTTGGCTAGGTAAATAAAGGGCAGACAATAAATCTGGAGTGTAAGTGACCATCTGTAGATAGACAGCAGAAAGTCGTCCTTCCCCCTGGGATGTCCTGCCTACTCACTAAAAAGCCCTCCATCTCTAAGAGCTATGGTATCACTTCCTAATATTTGTATTTCTCAAACCTTGGGTTTAATAAGGGCTAAAAGTGGGTGGTAAGGATGGCTTGCATCACAATAGTAAGGTAAAAAATGCAAAGATATTGGCAGGGGGAAGTCTTGGGAGAGTTCTAAACCCTTTCTAAATGTCCTTTCTAAAAGCCGTAGACTACAATGTCTCAAAACTTCCCATGACAAGCCAAAGATTTCTCCGGGTAGAGATAGTTAATATTTCAAATATTTTTGTAAGATATCTATTTGTGATAAATGTGCCACTTTGATTTAGAAAAGAATTGAGAGCTTTCTAGAAGTTCATTGTACTACAAGGGAAAAACCCACCCTGTCTCCCAAACACAGACCTAAATTACACATTGTGGCATATCCTAAAGAGAAGAAATCTTTAGTTTCCCCTAAAGATGGTATTTCAGTAGAGTGATCCAATGCATGTCCCCTACTAACGTGCTGTGCTTTGAAAGACCAGCAATAAGTGCAGCCTAAAGACAAGGATGCAGTGCACAGTCTGCCTAGAAGAAAGATGAGTCAACCTAGGTCAGCACGTGTATATAAGAAAGAAAACTGAAGTCCAGTGTTTTGTTGCATGTCTGCAATCCTGGTACTTAGGATGCTGAAGAAGGAGGATTATCACAAATTTGAGGTGAGCCTGGACTACATAGTGAATACCAGGCCATTCAGGGCTTCACGGCAAGATACCACCTGAAAAAAAATGATAGAATAAAAGGAAAAGAAGGAAGGAAGGAAAGAAGGAGGGAATTAGGGGAGGGAGGGAGGGAGGGAGGGAGGAGACAGGTGTGTGTGTAATGTAAATGAAACAAGATTAGACACCAGGGTTTCCAAGCAATTTCTGATTATTCCAAGCAATAATCACACTAAAGTTCCATGATCACAAAATATCTACTAAGCATAAATAGACTTTTATGGGTTGGGTAGAGAATCCTTGCAATTGGGTTTTCATCTTTATCCTTCCTTGATAGAGTGCAGGAGCCATTACGTAGGAGCAGCAGATTGATTTATTTACGCATTTATTTACTTATTTGTCATCCCCAGTACCACAGAAGCAAACCTTTTCATTTTCTACGGACAACTTGAAACATTTCACAATCTTGCTTGTCACTATCTTTTTATAGAAGGTCAAAAATCGGATTTTAAATGAACCAGCCAGGCCTTAATGGAATGTAAAAGCACAGGGAGCAGAGTGTGCCAGCAGACGGGCAGGCCTCGCAGTTTGTTGTCAACAGTTCAACACACATTCCCAGATCATCTCTGGGAAGTCATGGGAACAGCTTCCCTGTTCTGTTCTCCAGGTACTAATGAACACAGCCAATCATCCCTCCCTGAGGCCACCAGGAGGAGAAGGTTGGATTGGAGACGGGGTGGCAAAATCCTCAGCAGGTACATACCACATTCTTGTAGAAAAAATAGAGAATCATGTTGGAGAGTCGTGTGTAACACCAGTGCCCGTGCACAAGAAGGAGCTTGCCGAGATGCCTGAACCGAGAGATGGCGAAGTCACTGGCCATCACGGCCTGCAGAGGAAATAGAAGACTATCTGAGCAATGGAACATGCTAGAACACACACAGCCTAGCAGGTATAGCCTGACCATTAGTTAACTTACCTCCCAAGTAGATCCAAAAAGAGAGACTATACATACATACATACATACATACATACATATATATATATATATACATGCATATACATACACACATTTATACCTTATATACACACACATACATACACACACACATACATACACACACACACAGAGACAGACACAGGCACATGTTCCTCATTCCCAATCTTTCATGTCTCCTTTCCTTTCCCTCCCCTCCCAGTTGTCTATATTTTTCACGTCATGTATTCAAATCATAGTAGATTTCTTTTTAGTGAGAACTTAACCAAGCTATCACATGCCTGCAAAGTGCAATCTTACGATGTACATAAGCTTTTTAAAAACAGAACGCATGAACACAGCAGACCCTAGCCAGAACCACATATTATTCACAAGTGACCAACGGTGGGACGGATGAAGGTCCAGCCTCTCACTCCTTACCCCACAGCCCCACTGTCCCACTGAGATCTTATCGGTGAGCAGATTTCCCTTAGTAGCAGACGGTCGTGGTAGTCGGGTGTGTGTGTATGCACTCACCTGCATGCCTTCTTGACCTGAGACACCTATCCCAATGTCGGCCACTTGGATCATGCTAACATCATTGGCACCATCACCTTTACGAGGCCGAAGAAAACACGAGACACACGTGAGGAGAGTAAATTGCTATTCAAGAGAACACATTGGCCCTTTGTGGTTTATCCCACCTTCCAGAGTTACTTGGAAACTTTCGTGAAGTAGAATTAAATGCAGTATCTCACTGCCATCAGGAACAATTCCAAACTCAATGCTGTCTTCAAATTCTTTGTGTTGCGTATCTTAGGGTTCCATTGCTGTGATAAAATGCCAGGATCAAAAGAGCAAGCAGGAGAGCAAAGAGCCTATTTCAACTCACAAATCGTAATTCATGACGGAGGGAAGCCACAGCTGGAACTCAAGGCAGGAGCTGATGCAGAAGCCATGGAGGAGTGCTGCTGACTGGCTCTTACTTCCAAGCTTGCTTAGCTTGCTTTCTTATACACTCTAGGACTTATTTCCCAGGGGAGGCACCACCCACCATGGGCTGGGCCCTCCCCCACAAAAAGAAAAATCAATCACAAGTTAGGAAAATGCTCTATAAGACTTGCCTCCAGGCAAATCTTTGGGATGCATTGTCTCAATCATGAATCCTCTCCCCAAATAACTCTAACTTGTGCCCAGTTGACAATAAACTATCCAGGACACCGTGAGACCTTCTTAGACTGACCCTTCCCCTTTTCACGTCATCACGCTCCTTTCAATTTTCCAGACACATCCTGCTCTTTCTGGAGGCCACACAGGCCATTTCTCTGCTTCTGTAACACTGTCCCTGTCAATCCCACCTCGCTGAATATCACTTACTGAGGCTGGCTTTGTTTACATGTCATTTTCTCTAGAAAATCCTTCTCACATTCCCCTTAAGTCAGCTGCCCTGCTCCAGAGACACCCTGTGTGCCTCTATCCTCTCTACCACATGGTTTTACAGTGCTGTCTAGAGTCACGGATCTACTGCAACACTAGTTTCTCAGGATACACAATACATCACCACAGAAGCCTCTTCAGGTATTACGCTCCTTCAAGTAATGAGCATGTGTTGTCCCAAAAGGGCTACTGACTGAGCCCACGTGGTTTGTTAGGGTGAATTTATGGATGGGAAACTGGCTGAGGCCTGGAAGTCAGCATCTTATCTTCCCTACCCTCAATGATTGGTCAAGACGGGCACTTGATTTAATTAGTGCAAAATCCAAGGGTTTGGCTTCAGGTACATTATCTTAACCCAGGGATCTGAATCATTCATTCATTTCCATGTATAAACAACAGAATGGTTGGACCAAATTCCACCCCATACTATCTAAACACTCATATGTGTCAGAACTTCACAGCATGCTGTTCTCCCCATTGAGACTCATTGTTTGACGGTCTTAGAATGTCAAACCTTAGACACTCACTGGACCTACAATTCACTAATTTTTATGTTCAATCAATTCTTCCTTGCTAAGTTACAGATTTTTATTCCAGTTGGACACTTGACATCACTGCCAAGGCATCTGAAACTTTTCAAGCTAAGTAAGTTTAAGACCCCACCCCTCAAGCCCCGCCTCCACATCACCAAATGTCAGACCCCGCCCCTCAAGACTCTGGTAGTCCCATTGACAACTCTTCCTGTCATGGCACATACCCAGTTCATCAGCAAATATCAGCAGCTCTTTCTTCACAGCATGTCTGTTGTCTGACCATATTCCACTTCCTCCTCTTCTCTTCCTATCTGGGTCTAAGCCACCACCATCTCTTGTCTGAATTATTTAACAGCCTCCCAAATATTTTCCTTATTTATGTCCTTGTAGCACGTTTATTTTCACAAAGAGGGCAATGTGATCCCTTTAAACACAAGGCAGATCCCACCTCAGATCAACACTTTCCATTGGCTCTCTCACTTCCTTTTTCAGATCAAAGCCAAAATTTTACAATGGCCTTCAAGACCCTATGTGATCTGGCCACGCCCACCTCTCTGCCAATCATTCAGCTGCAGAAAACATTCCCCAGTCTGCTTTGGCCTTAAGTGACACACCCCATCTTTTGGTTTTTCCTTTTCTGTGCTGTCTGCTAAGAATGCTTACCCCCTGATCTCCAGCGGCTCCTCTACCAATTTCTCTTATGTCTTTACTCACAGACAGCCCAGGCAGCCAGTTCTGCTCTGGGAACCAAACTTAAGATGGACACTCTTTCCCCTGTTGTGTTTTTTTTTTTCAATAGCATTTGTTAACTGATATTTTCCACATTCACACTGAGTTGTTCATGCATTAGTGCTACTACATACCCTCCTACTGGACGTAAGCTTTATAAGAAAGCTATTGGTTATAAATATTGTTGCATAGCTGTTGTCCAGGATGGGGGAAGCCTGGTACAAATATGCCACTCAAAACCACTCATTGAATAGATATATTTTTTTAATTCCTAAATTTAACTTTCCTGAAGGTAAAAATCCTGAAGTTTTCAGTTCCCTGATTCAGTATTTAACTCTAGGTAACTAAGTTGATGGGGTCTAAGACATAACTCAGAGAACATTATCATACTGTTCTCTGTGCTCCATCCCTAACACCAGGTTCACAGCAGGTTCACAGAGAGGCAGGGCAGGAAATAAAGCTGTACAGACAGAAGGAAAGTAAGTAGAGCTGGAAAAGGAAACACAGAATTATAAGGTTAGACAGAAGGAAGAACAGGCAAAGGATCAACCCCTGGGGTCATACAACGGAGAGTGCCAGGCAGGGTGCCCACCCTCCCACCTCCTCCACTCACCAATGGCCAGGGTCATCACGTGGAGATGGTTTCGAACCAATTTCACCACCTCGCTTTTTTGAAGGGGCGTGGCTCGGCAGCAGACCACAGCCTGGCACCATGCAGTCAGCTCCAGGAACTGCCTTTGCAGACTCTCCTGCAGGGCAAACTCCAGGGTCTTCCCAGTGATAACAAGTCCGGCGCGTCCAGAGTGCTGGGAGTCAGGAGGCCGCCGGAAGGACTTTCTTAGTGATGCTGGCTCTGGAGGGGCTTGAGTTCTCTTCTGAAGTTCTTTCAAAATTGCACTCATCAGCATCTCACAGGCACCCTTGAACAAAGAGGGAGCGACAGTTAAACCTCGGGGCGCCACTAGAGAGCTAGGTCAATTTTTCATTCTCTTTCTTTAGCCATTGCTGGATCAAGGCTGCCTTGGGTAGTGAACCGTGGGTTACTTTAAAAGAGCCCACTTCATAACTTCTCAATTTTGCAGCTCATCCATGGGCTTCTGTGGATGTGAGGTCAGGTAAGAAGGAAGAAGCCCCTCAAACACAATTTTACAGCTAAAATGTCTATGTAGGATGTAAAATTCCATCGCATCAGTCCCATGCAGGCTCCCTGGTGGCTGGTTCAGTCTCTGTGAGCCCTTATGAGCCAGGTTAGTTGATTCTGTGGGTTTTCTTGTGATGTCCTTGACCCCTCTGGCTCCTACCATCCTTCCTCCCCCTCTTCCACAGGATTCCCAGTGCTCCATTCCGCGTAGGTTACTGCTGTGTACCTTGTGTGACTCCTAACAATGGGCACAGGGCTGTCTCTGACTCTTTTGCTGGCTTTTGGAATCCTACTCCTCATCCTGGGTTGCCTTACCCAAAGCTATGTTAATAAGAGGGGAGGTACCTTGTTGTGGGATATTTGAGCAAACTGTGTAGAAATGTGTTGCTGTTTCACCTTGCCTGCCTAAGGCACCTGATTGGTTTAATAAAGAGTTGAATAACCAATAGCTAAGCAGGAGAGGTTAGGTGGGACTTCCAGGCAGAAAAAGGAACTCAGGATGAAATCTAGACAGATGTCAGAGAGGCTCGGGGCAAGTTGGACGTACAGAACGGAAGAGAGGTAAAAAGCCACATGGCAGAATGTAGATGAATAGAAACAGGTTAATTTAAGTTATAAGAGCTAGTTGGGAACAACAAACTTTCATAATTAATAAGTCTCCGTGTCATTATTTAGGGGCTGGCAGCCCAAAAGAAAGTCTGATGGGAAAGCCAATTACAGTGCCGAGTCTCCCTGCAACTTGACATGCCATGTTTGGTTGATATCCATGGGAGGCCACCCTTTTCGGAAGAGAAACGGAGGAGGAGTGGATGTGGGGGAGCAGAGGGGAGGTGGGGGGAGGGACTAGGCGGAGAGGAGGGAGGGGAAACTGGGATAGGGATGCAAAACATAACAATAATAAAAATCATTAAAAAAAATTCCATCAGGTAAGTATCGTCTCTTCCCCGGAAGTGGATCTCAAGAGCCCTGAGGTCTCATCCCACCAACTCCTAGTTGCTTGGCATTAAGCAAACACAGAAGCTCTCTGAGCCTCAACTTCATCATCTGTAGAAGGCACATGCTACCTCCATCCACACTGCTTCAAGGACCAACCGAAATGCAGACATTTCAACCTTTTCATCTTCTTTGTGTTTAACACATCATCTACTCATAAGTGTTGGCTGAGAAACTGTATGAGAGAACGTTCTGGGCTTGGGGGACACAGCCTCACGGAGCTTGCACTCTGGTCAGGATGTTCTTCGTGATGCACATCACATCAGGTCTGTGTGCATCCGCACTCTACATGACACAGGGAATGCTTTAAGGGGAGTCATCCCGTCTACTCTCCTTAGGGTTTGTTGTTACTCTTCTGGAGACAACCGTGGGCCTTACACACGCTAAGCATGCGCTCTGTGTCTGAGCTGCGCCCTCTGAGCCTAACTCACTTTTGAGTCCTTTATAGTGAAAAAGAAAGCCCATCCTGCTGGAGAGAGAGCCCAGCAGCACAGACCATTTCCTGCTCTTGCAGAGGATCAGAATTCAGTTCCCAGCACCCACTAGAGGCCCACGAACACCTGTAACTCAAGTTTCAGTGGGATCCAACATGTTCTTCTCCATTCTGGGTGCACCTGCACTAACACATGCATAAACTCACACATGTACACACACACACACACACACACACACACACACACACACACACACACAATTTAGGCCCATCGAATACTCATTAAATATTTGCTGAGTGGATTCTACTCAGGATGACTAATAATAAACTTACCCAGAAAGTATTGTGTCAAATGACCACTAAGACTAGATCTCAGGTCTAGGATCGGGAGACTGAAGCCTACATGCCCAGCTTGAAATAGTTTGTTGATTCAAGAACATCCCATGAGTGATTTTATTTTAAACTTACCAAGCATTTCTTAACCCACGATAAAATACAAGGAAGAAAGAAAAGATAGGAGCAGATACAGAGGCATGATGCAACAAAGACTTAATGATCATATTATGTACAATCATCACGAATGTAGTGTGAATAGTGCTGGGCCTTTAAGAGGTGCAGCCCTGAGGATGGTCATGAGGTCATGACCACGCATGTGAAGGAGTGGGTGCTGGTCTTTCACAATGGGTTAGCCTTTAGGAACAGATAGTTCCCCCAGAAACAGACGGGGAAAGGAGTTGGCCTGTCCTCTCCTTACTCTCTTGCTTCCTCTTCTCCCACGTGAGCTTTTCTACCACTCACCAGCTGTGCACATATCCCCATGCAATGCTCTCCACCATGGGACACCCACCAGAAGCTGTGAGCTTTCAAACTGTGGGCTAAATAAACCACTTACCTTCCGTACAGTACTCAGCCTCACAGATTTTGCTATAGTCCCACAAAATAGACAGTCTAGATCCAGCTATAAAATGGAGCTACCAAACTACTTTGACCTTTGAACAAATTTGATCCTATATACCTCTAAAGCCATGAAGGAAAAGTCGGACATGCTTATTATAGACCAAAATTACAATAGTAAAAACTGTATTTGCACAAATATTTTTTAGTTTGGTGAAATTAATATGGCATAATTTAGAGATCAGTATATTTAGTCTTTGAAAATCAGAATATTCCATATGAGGTGGTGTTTATAGTAGAATATAATATAACTATAATAATATAAAATGGTCTTTGTAGCCTTAATATTATATGACAGAGTTTACAGTCTAGACAGATATTCTTCATAATATAGTTGTGAATCACCTGCAGCTTTATGATTAAACATAGATGTTTAATCTATGAGGGTTTAGTTTTTTAGCAGTATGTACACCCATGTGCATACACGTATACATACATGCATATACATATACAGTCATGCATATGTATATGTACACACACACACACACACACACACAGTCTTCACTATTCATGGAATCCAAGTTTGTGAGTTTAGATGCTTACCACCATTTATTTTTCAACCTGTACTCTCAGGCTTTTGAGTCATATACTGCCAAGAAAAGAGTAACATTTGGGTCATGTGATGCATGCCCTCTCAGCAGAAGCTGAGTAAATTGATACATTACAATTTATTATTATTATTTGGTTTTTTTGAGACAGAGATTCTCCATGTAGACCTGACTGTCTTAGAACTTGCTTTGTGGACCAGACTGTCCTCGAACTCAGAAATCTGCCTGCTTCTGCTTCCCAAGTGCTGAGAATCTGTTTGGTGGGACTTCTTTTTTTTCACCTTTCTTCTTTTTTGTTGGTGATTTTTTATTTGAAATGGCTCCTAATTACAGTGCTGCCAGTGTCCCTAAACATTCAACAGCTAAGATGTAAAGTACTGAGAAATTACTGTGTTAAATACTCTCTTTTTAGGCATGAATTAGAGTGAGGTTGCTCACACATTTTATGTGAATGAATTTACAATAAATATTAAATAAGGTATCATGAGAGAGAAACACATACGATGCATTGATCAATTGGCAGTGTACTGTGACCACAGGCCTTTAGGAAGTAAACTGTGAATCTCCCTTGGGATAGCAATCACTATTCACTAATTCAGGTTCAAGGTAATGTTATAAAACATAACTCCACTAATTGTAGGAAGTGGTTGTTTATATATAGTACGTAAATCACAATATAATAGATGTATCTTGATGCAGAAGAGACCAAATTCAATGCTAATTATTATTTCATGCTTGATAAATCAAAATATTCTGGTGTCTCTGCCTATAAAATGAGCTAATGTGTACTTGCTACAATTGTCAAATGAGATCATGCATGGAAAGCCTTCTAGAGCTTCCCCTAAAGATTATAAATATTAGGTTCTTCTTAGGAGAAAAGTATGTTTGATAAGAATACAATGTAAATTGAAGGGGCAATGCTCAGATGTCTCTGTGTATGTGAGTGCAGTAAACCATGTCAGGACATGACAATGTGAACAAGAAAGAAAAAACCTTCCTGAAGATGGAAATCATGAAGGCTTTTAAACGGATACAGTTTTGTCTTAGTTTTGTCAGTAGTGAAGTTCACAGAAATTTATGAAGTCAGCACACAGACATGACCTCGGATATTCCAGAACTCATTGGCTACTAAGTGGCTCCTTAGACTGTTATAGAAGCAACTCACCACAGGACGGAATGGGCTTTGTGATCTGAGCCCTTTTTAGCTTTTAGGGACTCCTGAGGAATGGAGATTGGAAGAGGGACATATTTACAGACTAGTGACTGAACCAATACTCACAAAATGAAATTAAATTCTACTGTTTTCTTTTGATCTACATAGAAAATTCACATATATGAACTGTTATTAGTAGCAACTAAAGTGAACCAAATATGCACTAAATACTTCTTGGACTGGTAGTTTTAAATGCCTTCCAATATAAATTGTGTATTTTTAAATAAATTTTACAATCCTGCTGATTTTTACCTATCAATAAAGTATCTAAATCAATAGATAAAAAACATATACTGTGTTTCTAAAAAAAACTAGAAGAAAGGGTTTTACATGTTTGTATCACGAAGAAATGAGAAATGACTGAGGTGGCAAATATGATTAATCTGATTTAGACATTACAGAATCCATACACAGACCAAAAGCCCTTTTGATTGCAAAGAGTGACTAACACACCTGACCTGAGTGATGTTATGCCCTACTTCTCATGATGACACAGATCACCATGTTTATCCTCACAGACATTGGAAGCACTTTCCCTGACAAATGCAGGAAGTCCCAGGTCCACGAGGCATGCAATGTTATGCTTGGTTCCCCATGTCTGCAGACTTGGAGCTATCTGGAAGGATGCTTGAACTGTCAATAGGCTTTCTCCGAGGGACTATTTTAAGATTTTATCTTTTCTAAATTGTTTGAATGTTGAATAATTACCATGTTAATTAAAAGTTAGAGAAAAGTTTTTCATGTCTAAAAAGTTCTAAGTCAAATTAAAAACACAAATAATTACTTTATTTTTCATTTGCTTGTTTATGGATTTGGGGTGCATGTGTGTGTGTGGGCACACCCATGCCATGGTGTATGTGTGGTAGTCAGATGGCAATTTTCAGGAGTCAAAATCAGTTATCTCCTTCTACTAAGTTGGGTTCAGGAATCAAACTCAGGTCCCAGGCTTGGCAGCAGCATTTGATTGACAGTAATTCATTTTCTTTTTTTTATTTTATGCTTCCAGATCTCTCAATAGATGTTTAGCATTTTTCAGGTGCTGCTGGCATTGGAGACCCTCTGCAGGAGGAAGTCCCCAAGTCTACAGAACCCTTTCACAGAACCGATGCTGACAGGAGACATTTCCTCACTTTTTGCACATATCCATGTCATGGCATGGGTGTTACTGTCCATGACAGGTGAGGAAGAAGAGGCTACACAGGGCAAGCAACTCCCCAAGGACATACGCTTATCAGTAGTAGGAAAGTATTTCCCTAGCCACTCAAGCACATCCGTTTTGAGCCACTGAAATAATTTGGCCTCTTGATGGTGCTGGGTGCTGGCTGTCGGTTATGAATATGGCCCCTGAGTCTGCTATAAAAGAGAACTGTGTTGGATAAGGACAGCTCTCGAGTTTCCTCAAAACATATTACCAAGCCGAGCGTCAACGGAGGCTTAGCCATAAAACAGCTAGCCAAAAGGGATTCCGTGAGGTGGCTACAGAAGACATCACGAAGTCAGGATGCTATGACAGAATGTTACTGCTGCCTGACTTTCACGGGGGAAGGAGGAGACAGGCAGAGCTTTCAAGCACAGTGAACAGTATGCACACATCTCGGAGTGTATCTCTTTCCTAGGAACTGTCTGTGAAATGCCCACTTAACTATTTAAATATTCATCCTAGTGATTAACAGCAGCCAAAATGAATGAATGAATGAACGAATGAATGAATGAATGAATGAATGAATGAATGAATGAATGAATGAATGAATGAATGAATGGGTGGTTCAAAATCTTTTCAACTCCTTTAACACTCCATCCCCTTCATTTCTACAAATGTTGGGTGCTCTTAGGCGCAATATCTAAATTTACCACTAGAGGGCAGGATTATGCTGAGAGCCTAATTTTAAAATCATAAAAATGTCTAGTTACTAACAGAAATGACTACTTCCCTCTAACTTGAAAAGAGGGTAGGTTCTTGTTTCAAGATTTTGTATATACTCTCATTTTTGTCTGTTTTTGTCAAATTCCTGGTCAGACAGTTAGAATCGGGGGTGAAGGGTGCCCAAAATAAAAAGGGAAGTTTTTTCCTAGTGCTTGTATTCACCGTGATGTCTTAGAAAAATGATGGCATCCTCCCCAAATATGAGCAAGGTCACTGGGTACCATAACATCATAACATCACTACAGATGATCAGCTCAGTCTCTCTCTTTCCTGGCGTACATCCATCGCCTAACGTCCTGCCGGCTTTGAGTTAAAAGAGTGTTTGGCTCAGCAGCATCATGCATACCTTACTCTGTGAATTGAGGATGAAGAGCTTGTCGTCTGGCTCCAGGAGTTTGCATGCATAAGCTATGTTGACAGCTGTCTCCTGCTTGTCCCCTGTCAGCATCCAGATCTTGATGCCGGCTCTGTGAAGGGCTTCTATCGTCTCGGGGACTCCCTCCTGCAGGCGGTCTTCAATGCCGGTAGCACCTGAAGAGTAACCAAAAATGCAAGAAAGGTTTCTGAGAAACCAGAGCCAGCTGGACCTCACTGGGCCATTCACTGAGTCCTTTCCATGGGACATCCAGTCCTGAACTCTATAAACCATCCCAATAGCTTCTAGAGATTCAAGGAAAGCTGCAGAGCAGACATAAAATACCAAGGATCATGGAGTTTATCAAACCCATTCTCCTTTGGGCTAGTATTCTTATCTACAAATTCACAAGCTGGTCCACTTATTTATATAACCTTGCCCTGAATTCTACAGTTCTATGAAACTCCCCAGGGTAAAGGCAGGCTCTTAACACTCTTGACTATAAGACACAATGTCTGTTAGGGATACTCTTTCATAATGTCAGTCTACAATGTCTTTTTCTGGAATGAGATGCAATGAGATGTGCTTTGGAATTCATGTTTTTCCCACCAGTGATGTGGTATACATTTTCTATTTTTTTTTTTTACATTTTCTATTTTGCAATACCTGTTAGTCACATATATTTATCTTTCTATAGAAAACTCAGATTTTCATGCTAATTAGAGTATTAATACTAAAAATAGTGCTACATCAAATCGTGTTTGATTTTGCTGCCAAATGAGTTTTGGCATTAAACCCACAGAGCCTTATTTCATTTGGAAATGCAGATTAGGAAGCATACATCTAAGCTGCTTATACTACCACAAAGACATTATGAGTATTTAAAAGGAACAGGAGTATTCTACTTGATGGATATTAAGTGAGGTCATGTCTCCACCTAAACAGAGGAATGGACCTCAGAGGCGGCTCTCTTGGTGAGTTAGCCCTTCTATCAGAATCTACATCTCCATCCTCCAAGCAGTGTTTCTGAACTTGATTGACCCCTCAAAGTCACTCAGGAGACTTTCAGCAATTCCCGTGTCAAGGGCACACACAAGACCGACAGCCCTGGACTGTTTATAGTTCCTTAAATGATTCTCAGGTGCGGGCCAACCTGATAGAAAAGATGTCCCTTGTGCAATTTGGGTTGGAATCAGGAAAGAGGAGAAGAAAAATGAACTTCAAGATCACTTGCAGGTACAGAATAAAGGACATGTACCCTATACTTGGGGAGCCCTGAGTTTCCTGCTTTTCAGTTAAAGTCTAAGCCTTTGAGCATGAAGAGGTCACTGTGCTACTCTGTGCCCTGTTTCTTCTAAATAAGATGCATGTTTGTCATAAAGATTTAAGAAGACGACATATATTTAAGATTTCACCCAATTTCTCGCAAGACACTTGCAAAATCCTTCTCTCAGACCAAGATGTTTGTTTGGCTTTGTATTCTGAGTTGGGTGTTTCAGTTTACATCTTACCAAGAATGCCTCCCCTGTTCCCACCACAAATGGACCCTCTAGTTCACTGACGTGGAACACAGGTCTGAAGACACTGGAACACGAGAAGAGATCAGGACGGGCATGGTAGGGAGAACCACTTTGCTTCCCACATCCAAGTGGCTAAAGAGGACTGGAGAAAAATGGATTTAGAGACAAAATCTGCTCAGGCAACACAGCACCATTCACCTACCAAGTAATGTGAGCTTGTTCTCTAGTCTCATGGCAGACTCAACTAGCAGTTCTTCCCTGTTATCAATGCTGGTTTCAGCCAGAAAGTGATTCCTCAGCCATTCTGCATATTCAGCGTCACTCATGACCTAAGAGAGGAAGAAAAGAGGCTAGGAAGCGGGCCATTTAACCTTGTAATGTCCTGCCAGGCCTGACTGGGGACAAAGTTCCGTGGCAACAACTACCTTTATAAATTTCACCCTCAGGGCACACTTGTATCTGACCTAGACTCCTTTACCACAGGGACGCAAGATTCCCAAACTCTGCTCAAGTGAATTCGAACCTGCTGATAGAGAGATAGCACAGCTTAGTTACCTCAGGAAATTTTAAGCGTTATCTTTGGTGAAAGGGGGTTAACCTATTTAATTAATCCAGGACAGAAGGAGGTAGATCAGGCCTCCTGTTGGTGGTTAAATCTGGGAGCATTCTAATGGTGCAGCTAAGAAAATGTCCTCATGATTGCTCATCTGAGGGATGCCACAGCCAACAGCACCTCAGAGGTCTTTGAAGATTCATTCATATGGTTAAACTTCTGAGAAGGTAAAATGAGAAGCACCCTATAGGAAATGTAAGAAGGTCTTGGTTCTAACAAAACTTAAACAACTCCTGGAAAAGGAACCAATGTCTTCCTGTCTTTACCTGCCATCATGGATGAATCTACATTTCAGCTCTTATAAGCAGGGACATCAAGTGGAGAGAGCTAAGCAATTTTTCTCTTATACACTCATTTTTGCCTGGCGGGTAATTTGATTTGGGAAAATATAACATCTATTGGAATATATTCAACGAGAAGGCAGAGTTGATTCAACTGTGAACTCCCCACTCCCCTATCATTACATCATGGAGGCATTTGCTCCTTCATGCAGCTGGTTGACTGGGTTTCTTGGAGGTCCCCAACACAGCTAGTCCCACTTTGCCTCCCACAATAACTTAAGACCTAGAACATAGGCAGTCAGTGAGAGGTTTGGGCAGTAACAGTCCCCAAATCACTTCTGGGGCTCTACCTTTTCATTTAGAAAGGACAGGCCATGTCTCAAGGACTGTTTTTGGTAAAGAATAATCCAAACTGGGATAAAAAAAAAAAAAAACCTGGCAAGTTGACTTGGATTTAAAGATCAATTTATGGGCACATAAGAAAACAAGACAAAATAAAACTCCCAAGACTTCATGAGAGAAAAATGAAGGCTGCTCTCTGGTCATTTTTTTTTTCAAATAACATTTAATGCTAACAAATGGGGGACATTATACACAAGGTTCTGGGGGGAAGGCAGTAAGATGTTGGGATTTTTACTTCCCGAGAAACAACTGTTTACATACAAGGCCACTTGTATGTAATATGTGAGAATTCTGAGAATAGAACACTTAAGTACCTGACAAAAAACCTTTGGGGACAGAAACCTAACCCAGTCACATAGAGCATGGAGGGGCTACGTAGAGGGACCCCAGTCTGAGGAACCTTCCTGGTGCCTGGATTAGGGTTGCACTCTGCTACCCACTCAGTTTCAGTGATGATGGGTGAATCAGAAGTACCACGGCCGGGGTACTCAACATTCTCACCTTTTTGGCGATACACAAAGTTCGCAGGCCGCGTTTGGCATATTCGTCCAGGTGGCTCTGTGTTTTCTCCCTTATTATCATCTGTTGCTTTTCCAGATTTGTCCCATCTGCAATCATGAACAGAAAATCGTTATTCCTGCCAGCCTGCCCAATTAGACTTTTTTTTCCCTTTGAAAAATGACAGTTTAATCCATAATAAACAAAAGGCATTTTAGCTTTGAATCTCAACTGTGTCTAGGGAAAGAAGAGAGCAGCATAATTCTTCACTTTGATTCTCTCCCCCTGGGCAGAGGAAGTACTAAAGCTTTGATACAAAGGCTGCCATAATGGGTCAGCCCTACCTATCCTCTCGGGGCACCCTTCCCTTGTTAGGCAAAAGGCTCTTCCTGCATTTCACACAGAGTGACATTAAGCCTCTCAGGAACCCATAAAAAGGTATTCTGATGTCCATTTTCCCAAACAGGTAACTTTACAGAGGCACAGCTAATGATGGATTTCAGATGGCAACAAACCATGGTCTCTGAGCTTCAGAGCCCCTCCGCCTTCCCACCCAATCCTAGGCAGCATTTTTCCTTTTCAAGTGTGACTTCATAGCCTTTACCAAAACACTGGGGAGTGGAGGCTGAATCCCCAGCCCTTCTGATCACCACCATGGCAACCACCTACCTGGAGAAGCCACGGACAGCAGCTCCATGATCACAGAATCAGCACCCTTTGTATACACCACGACTTGTTTAGAAAGAGGATGCCGGACCACGACCGACATTCTTTTCCTTACCGAGTCAAAAGGAAGGATGTGTAAGAGTTGAAATGTTAATGAGCCCAAAGCAGCAAAGTCCACCATGACCTGCTCTGGGGTCCGAGACTGTAAAGTGCAATGGTAAGCCCTGGCGGCGTACACCAAGGCTGCCTCATCTGGACTCTCTGCTTCATAACACAGGTTGGCAGCCAAGGGCGGTGGTCCACCTAGGGCTTCAGCTGAGCCAATGGTGAGTCCTAGAGCACTGTTTTGTGCCTCAGTTTCTGTACAGCAAGCTGAGTTACTGGCCTGAGGGCTTTCACCCATCTGGGAAGACTCATCCTCCATAGGAGGTGACAGTTTTGTTCGATTAAAGAAAGAGATTCTGCTCACAAAGGCACAGGGAGCCCCAGAAGTTGGGTCCTTCCCACCGGCAAGGGACGGTGAACTTGATCTCCGGACAGACAATTTCTGGAAGATGTTTTTAATCTCTTCCAAGGACTTGATGGGCATTCCACTCAGTGAGGAGAGTCCAATCTAGGAAAGACAATGAGAGATGTCTCAATAACATGCCCAAAATTAGATCATCACAACTCTAAAGTCCAGTTGAGGGAAAAAATGAGATATGAAAGAGTTATCACTGTCTTAACTGTCAGTCTGCTTTCTCTCTAGAAATTTCATAGCAAACAGGAAGACTCAAAGCCACTAGGAAAAAGGATGTGATGGCATAATACATCTCTCTAACTATTTAGGAAGATATCCACAATTGAAAACAAAGGATTCCAAATGTTAATATTGGACTTCCTTATAGAATTGTTTCTAAAGAAATAATCCTACATGTATAAAATCTCTAATCTTCATTGACACAGCTTAGCAATAGCAATTAAAGGCAAATTGAACCAGGCATGGTAGGGCTTGCACATAATCTCAGCTCTTAAAAGGCAGGAGGACCCCAAATTCAAAGCCAAGCTGGGCTACATTAATGAGACCCTGTCTCAAAGAATCAACTACGAAACAATCAGTCACCATTAAACTAAGAATTCAAATCAATTAAATATTCAATATCAAAACAAAACCATATTCTTGAAATTTATTTTGAGGTGAAGTTTGTAGAGAGCATGAACATGTTACCAGAAAAGTTCAATGCTTTGGGGTCTTACAGGAAAAGTCCGGAGAAAACAGAAGGACAAGTACATCTGAGCACACGGCACCAAGACCGCAGGAGGAAGCACACGGCACCAAGACCGCAGGAGGAAGTCAAGCTAAGGGCTAACGGAATGCATTTTTCTTTTCTCTTTTCAGAGTCTAGAAAAGGCTGTGATTTTGGCCTTTACAACAAAATGGGCCAGAAAATGAAAGTCAGTTAAAGGGGAATTTATCCACATCGTCACGTGACTTTAACTCTTTACTAGTACACGATCTGTTCTTATTTGCTCCTTATCTCCTTTTACGCTTTTAATATCAGTGATTTGGCTTGGAGTTTCACGCCTATCATAAAAGACCACCCAAAGGATTCGGAAATTTATTCATTCAGAAGCACATGAAGAGTTTAGATAGTTTCTTCAGAAACTAACTTTATAACCATGTGAAGGGCTCTTGCTGGTCAGTCTGTGAAGCCGCCAGCCACTCAGAGGTAAAGCATGCACCTGCATGGTGAAGTCTCTGTTTCTCACAGTGTGCTTCCTTTCTCTCATCACCCTAAGAATTTGGGAGAAGCAGGGGCTCTTTATGCCTCCAAAAGATTTTGTTCCAAACAGTAAAGCATTACATCCTTTAGGAATACATCAACCACACTTTGTAGAAAGAAAACCCCGAAAGTCGCCAACTTTGAAAACAAGCGCAAAGCATTGTATAGTACAACTTTTATTAATCCCGTCATTTATTCTCTAATTACATAATCGCCTTTTCCAGAGCATCTTCCCAGGCAGCACCTTGTAAAATACAGTCTCTGATCAGGTGCAGCTTAATTGGAAGTGAATTACTTTTATGTTCAAGTTCCCACCTCTGAAGTTGCCAAAAGAAAATGATCGGTTGGAAAATTAAAATTTAATTGGGTTTTGCTGTAAATTGAATTTTAAGTGGATATGTGGGAAAGGCAAGATACACCAGGAGGCTAGCACACCACGCTAGATCACCAGGCTCTACAGTGTTTTCCTTCTTAACTGGAAATGAGTTTTCCATGGGTTCTAAGCTGCAACTATACAGAGGGACTGCTGAATCCTGGCACATCCTACTCCTACTGGATAGTGGGCAGACTGAGTTAAAACAAACCTAGCTGGTACATGAAGGAAGTTTGTCATAGTCACACCCATTAAACTAATGCTTCAGATTTTGATTGAGGTCGTGCAGATGATGTTGGAGGTCTCAGAAGTGTCACAGACAGCTTCAGTTTAGTAAGGCAGTGAAGGCAAAGCGAAAGTTCTCCTGAGCTATCCTTTCCTTGGCAAAAAAACAGGGTAAGCCCAGACAGAGTCCTGCTGTTCAACCCCCACTCTCAGCCCCACCCCCACACTGGATTCACAACCCTGGTGAAATCCTTCCAAGGCATCTCTAAGATGAGAAAGAACAGAACCAGAGTGCCTAGCTCTTTGAGAGGGCTAACACATCAGCACCAGCAAATCTCTTCGAACACGGTAAGTGCAGGGCCAAGAACAAGTCCTGAGCAAATGGTTTACACCTGCTGTTTTTGCTGCTACTGTTATTTATTATCATCACATAGCAAAACCACTACAGATGCATGTAAACTCCACATCGTCCGCTGCTGAGCAAATCCTCGTGTGCATTGGCGTTTACCTTTTGCCGAGGCTGGTTAGGGGCAGAAACCACCACCGTGTTGCAGATTGCCAGTGCGATAAAGAAGTCCAGGATGTACAAAATCTCCAGGGGTGGACTCTGCGTGGTACCATCCAGTGGGGTGAAGAGCTGAGGGGTAATCTGGCTAAATTTGTCCAAAAGTCTGGTATCTGGTACCACGTCCGTTTCCTGAAGAGACAATATGACAAAGTGTTGTTATTGACATAAGGAGCTTCTACAATGGGTATCTAATGAAGCATGAGATGGTAAACTGGATTTTATTTCTTTTCTACATATACTTATTTGTATGTGTGTGTATGTATGTGCATACTCATGCATGTACTACAACACATATGGAGATCAGAGAACAATTTAAGGAAGCTGGTTTTCTCCTTCCACCATATGGGTTCCAGAGGTCAAATTTCAGCTCTCAGGCTTGGCAGCAAGTGCCTTAACCCACTGAACCATCCCACCAGCCCAGTAAGCATAATGTTTAAAAGATTAATGCATATGATGTCTTGGGAAATAAAACAATAAAATGAAGCACATATAAATAAAAGGGAAATCCAGATTATATATTATTAATGATGAATATTTTGGCCTTTCAGTTAAACAGAAGATAAAAACATCACCTTCTACCAAAATCTAGTTGAAAGGCTATTTCTCACTTTGAAATATATAATGCTAGGTACATATTTTATTGTACTCAGAATTCTACCATAGCTGTATTTTATTCAACAACTGATGGACACCAGTTATTTCAAAAGTGAGATTTAATTCATACCCGGGTATTAAACACAACATTTTTTTTTGGTCAATTCATTAATATCATAAAAACAACTTTCTGTAAAATACATTTTAAGCAGGCTAAGAGACTAATTGACATTTCATAGCCTAGGTATTTATTTACAGCAACTGTGACCTCCTCTTAAGAAGTCCTGGTAAGGATTTACTTTAAGAAGTTCTGTCACTAGAGTGGGGTGCAGGAGCCCCGTTTCATCTAGCACACTGCATCATTTAGTCTGCTGAAGAGAGTACTGTTTGGAATCACGGTCCCCCGAAGCAGCACTGTGTTGCAGGGAGTCTTGGATGCTGCCAAGCACAGCACACTGACTACAGGGAAGCCAGAGAGATGACTGGCAGAAGAGAGCGCACAAGGACTGTGACACTGTCCTCACATGGTCATGTCATGGCTCACTTTCATTGTCAGCTTGACTGGATTTAGAATTAGCTAAAAAAAAAAATAAAACCTCTGGGTGTGTCTGTGAGGGTGTTTCTAGGGAGGTTTCATTAAAGAGGGAAGACCAATTAGAAATGTATGTGGGTGGCACCTTTCCACGGGGTCCTCCACAGAACAAAGGCGGAGAAGGCTAGCTGGGCATCAGCTTTTGTTGCTCTGCTTCCTGACTGTGGGTACAATGTGACCCCGCTGCCTCAGGCTTCCCGTGCCAGGATGACCTGTATCCTCTCAAACGCTATGTTGCTCTTGTCAGGAATTTTATCTAATTGGCAATAATCGCGCCTCGGATAAACCTCGTTGGCTACGATACTGCCACTGCGCAAAGCTAGGAATTTTATTTCAAAAGCAAGGAGAAAACTGAGAGGCCTCGGCTAGAGTCTCTGCATTTGGTGGGAGTGATCACAGGTTTAAGAGAGAAGAGTAATGCTGGTAAAATCACACGCCCTCGGCTCATGTCTCACCTCCACTCTGCCGACGCCTGGCCGAGGGAAGGAAGCTCACTTCGTACCCATTCCTTTGCCTGCCTGCCTTTCTTCTTTCCTTCCTTTCAAGTGACGAATACTCACCTTTCAGATTACCAGGGTCATGACAGGTATAAAATTCGCATGCTATCAGTTGTCACAAAGTAGTCTTAAAATTCCATCTAAATTCAGCAAGTAGACGACTACAAAGCTGAAATCCTGGTCTGTGATGGAGACAGGGAAAGCAATTCTAAAACCAGTAAAGGTACTGCGTGCGCATTCACACAGTCACGAAAGAGATGCTCCCGTCAGCAAAACTCTGCCGATAAGAACTGTCAAAATGAAGCTGGGTCTCTCTAGATACTTGGGATCACAGAAGACACTGAAATCACCAGAAAAGAATACAAATAAAAGAAGAGCCCACAGGAAGATGTAAGGAGACATTCACATCCAAATGAAGCTCGGGAAACAAGAGTGTTTTGCTGGTTTTGACAAAATAACTTAATCCCTCATGGCTAAGCCAGTTCTTGAGTCGAGGAGAGGGTGCAGAATTGTTACTTGCAATTTTTTTAAATCTAAATGACTATATCTATAATTATTTCCCCAAGACCAGAACCATCTTCATTGTGACCTTGTTCTACAAGGTTAACATAGTTCTCTTGCTGTGCTGGACAACTGTTCCCATCTTACAGGAAACCATGCCTGTTTAGTTGAAATAGCTCTAACTCCCCAGGGTTTGGAAGTCTCTTTAAGGCAAGGACCACTGTCTGCTGATCTTGGAATCTCTAACCCAGTACATGGCACATGATAAGCAACCCAAGTTTATTGTATACTACTATCAAACTCTTCCTGGCCTTATATTCTATTCTATACAGGAAGGGTAGAGAAACAAATGAACTAGCGTCATTACCCATGGAAAATAAATGCATATAGCTCCCATGCGGCCTTCATCAGGCATCTGGTTAATATTCAGAGAACATTTCCACTCATAATTAGATCACAGAATACACAGAAGGACACAGACAGGTCCTACCCCAGTGGTTCTCAACCTTCCTAATGCTGGGACCCTTTACACAGTTCCTTATGTTGTAGTGACTCCCAATCATAACATTACTTTGTTGCTGCTTCATAACTATAATTTTGCTAGTTATGGCTCGTAACACAAATATCTGATATGCAGGATATCTGATTTATGACCACTGTGAAAGGGATGTTGGGGGTCACAACCCATAGATTGAGAACCATTCTTTTCTACACCGTCAGCAAAGCCCTGGTGGTTTCATAGTGGGGGTCACAGCTTTGCTGTTCACCTTGTGTGATAACACCCCATCATTTCCAAGTTTACGTTCAGTATCAGGACTCACACTTCCAACTTGGCTGAAGGAACTCTATTTCGGGCTTTTCTTTCTTTCTTTCTCTGGTTATTTTTCTCCCCTACTTAGATCCAAGTTAAACATGCAAAATCTGGCTAGACTTTGCTCTTTGCTCTCCTCCCTGTTTGCTGAAGGTTTTGTATGGCTTCAACATAGCTTAAATGTTGTTTTAAATCAGACAGTAACAGGAAGCTACTTCATCGTTTCTGCAAGCCTCCAAACACCCAGGGTTTAACAATGGAAAACGATGCTCTGGCAGGTGACAGAGATGAGCAGGCAGCTGGAAAGCTGTCCGGACTCCACTCTAGAGCGCCTCTCCTAAGCTTGATGTCATTTCCTGCTGGCCTAAGAGTTCCAGGGACTTGTCACTCTTACACATACGTTACTGTGGGTTTTGTGGACATACAAGCCTTCTCTTGGACTGCTCTGACTCCCAAACACCACACACCCGAAGGAAACATACAAAGGCCACACACGGGTGACTCTTCCTCTACACAGACTCCTTCATCCAGCAATTCTGAGCATTTGATGTGCCCAACAAACTGTACAGTGGCTTTGGGCAGAATGCAGAGGAAGAACTACACAGTGATAAAAAGACACCAAAAGACCTATTAATTAGACACACATACCTGTCTCCAAGATAACTCTGGTTTAGTCTTGGTGCTTCATAGAGTCAGCTATTAATCTTAAGTCAAGGTAGCCTTCTTTAGGTTCTGATATGACCAGCCCTGACCAGAAATATTGCATTTTTCAGAAATGGTACCTGACTTTTCAACACTGAATTATGTAACAAATCTCCAATTTGTATTTTTTTTTAACTTATTATGTGTCACCATCATGCTGAGCTGTCATGATGTCACCTCTTTCCTAGACAAAGAAAAGCAGTGTTGTTTGGGCTATCAGAACCAGGCAGGGGTTCTTCTGTTCAGGATGTGATGATGTCTTGACACTTACAATGGGGCTACTGAACGCAGCCTGTCTGGAGTGAGGCACCTCCCCGGATCCTTCTCCACTACTTCCTAGGGCAGGAATGCTCCCGGAGAGGTGAGTCGAGGATTTGCTTCCCAAAGGCCCCCTGGGAACTGTCCTGCAGCCGTGGGTTCTGGGTTTTGCCATGTTGCTGAGGGAGCCACTGAGAGTGTCTGTGCCTTCGTCCTCTTCAAAGACGGCCTCCTGATAGGACTCGAGCCTCTTGGCTGGAGGAGAGAATTCACACAGAGTCACCCTCTGAGAAGGACCTGCCAGCTGAGAGAGTGTGGAAGGTGGTTCCTGAGCTATTTACACCAACTCTTTTCTGTCCCGGCCTCCAAATCCTCCCCATGAGAATCCACAGTCAATAAACGTACCCCCTTCTTTACTGGGAAATGAAGACACAATGGATTAAGAAGTCCCTTCCTCATCTATCTCTAGGTCTAGCATCTTGTATGCAGCTCTATCCACACTCTTTGTCCGCTCTCCTACTGTGATGCAGAACTCAGTCTTCCTTGTTTCTAGCACCAAGCCCTCCACTGGTGATCTGGATCCTGCCCTCTGGGGCCTCAAGGACTTTCTTTTCACATTTGTCTTTCACGCACACCAATCTCTCCTCAACCAGTCTCAGGACTTTCTGTCCTAACTCTTCATTGCTCTCTTCTCAAGATCACCTAGAAGCTCCATCTTGCCAAGCCCAGTGATCACATGTATGTATGTATATATACACATGTCACCTAGAAGCTCCACCTTGCCAAGCCCAGTGATCATGGATGTATACATATATACATGTGTATGTGTGCTCTTATCTCATTTGAACCCTTAATAATGGTCAACTCTTTCTAGAACTAACTCTTTGGGCTTCTAGCATCATCCTTACCTGTTTTCTCTTCTACACTGGTGGCATTAGCTGTTTAGTTTTCCCAGCTGTCTTTCATACATGTTTATTTTATTTTATTTTATTTTATTTTTGTGTGTGTGTGTGTTTCACTCATATGTGGGTGTGTAGGGGTACATATGTGTGTACATGTATGTGAAGGACAGAGAACCGTGGGCATTGTTTCTCAAGATTCATTGTTTTGTTTTATGTTTTTCCTTTGTGTTTTGAGACAGGGACCCTCACTGGCTTCGGACTCACCACGGAAGGTAGGACGCCTGGCCAGCAAGCTCCAGGAGCTGCCTGTCTCCATCTCCTCAGTGGTGGGATTACAGCGGACACCACCATGGCTAGGTTTTGTAATGTGGGTTCTGGGCATTAAACTCAGGTCCTCACGCTTGCAAGCCGAGGGTTTTAGAGACTAAGCTGTCCCCCAGGCCCCAGGTACACTTTGTTGTCTTTTTGTTGTGTTCGGTGTTGAACTTAGAGACTCAAGCATCTAGTCAAGTATGCATGGTAGTATGAACGTAATTGGCCCCCATAAGCTCATAGGGAGTGGCACTATTGGGAGGTGTGGCTTTGTTGGTGTAGGTATGGTCTTACTAGATGAAGTGTGCCAGTGTGGGGAGAGCACTGAGGTATTTTTTCCTTAAGTTTCACTCAGTGTCACAGACCACTTCCTGTTGCCTGCCAGAGGTAGGACTCTCAGCTCCTTCTCCAGCACCGTGTCTGCCTGCACGCTGCCATGCACCACCATGATGAAAATGGACTGAACCTCTGAACTGTAAGCAAGCCACCCCAATTAAATGTTTTCCTTTGTAAGGTTTGCTGTGGTCATGGTGTCTCATCACAGCATAGAATCCCTAATTAAGACAGCATGTTATATCCGGTCTCCAGTTACCTTTCTTCTCATCCCTCAGTTATTGGCAAGCTGCAGGACTGTCAGCTCTTCTCCATCTGCACACTTTTTCTTGGTATTCTCATATGGTCTGATCTTTGAAACAGAATGTCTACATGCATAGCCTATAAACCTGTGTACTGGTTAGTTTTATGTCAACTTGACACAAGCTGGAATAGAGAGGAGTGAACCCAATTGAGAGAATACCTCTATAAGATTGGGCTGTAGGCAAGCCTGGAGGGCATTTTCTTAATTAGTAATTGGTAGGGAAGGGCCCAGCCCAGTATGGGTGGTGCCATCCCTGGGCTGGTGGTCCTGGGTTCTATAAGCAAACAGGCTGAGCAAGCCAGTCAGCAGCTCTCCTCCATGGCCTCTGCATCAGCTCCTGCCTCCAGGTCCCTGCTCTGCTTGAGTTTCTGTCCTGACTTCCTTTGATGATGAACTGGGATGTGGAACCACAAGCTGAATAAGCCCTCTCCTCCCCAAGTTCCTTTGGTCATGATGTTTTATCACAGCAATAGTATCCCTAACTAAAACAACCTGTATCTCCAACTCTGGACTCTCACTGGAATCCACACTCATGTATTCTCCTCTCCACACGACACTTGCAGTTGGCTGTCATAAGGCTCTTCTAGAAGATGGATAGTGGGATGGTTCATGCCTTGACTTCCCTCGAGTCCATCCTCCTTACCAGTGAAGGTTTCTCAGGCAGGGCCCCATTATTTACTCTTGCCTCTAATCTGGCCATTACTGCCTACTCTACACTTTTGTTTTTCATTTCATCTCACCTCATAAAACATACACCTTAAAATGGTCAGAGAAACTCAAGTGCTGTTAATGTGTCCCGAGAGTCCAATGCAGTAGCTCATAGAAATGCTGGAGGAATAAATGAGTAGTTAAATAACTGTAATCTTAAATTCCACCGGTAACAGCTGAGCTATTTCCTCTTCCTCCTCAACCTTTTCTGGTAACAGCTGAGCTATTTCCTCTTCCTCCTCAACCTTTTCTTCCCTCTTCCTCCTCACCTTTGTCCAGCACTGTCTTGTCTATATGGTAACCAAAACCTTGAGCAATCCATTCCCGACAGCACATCAGTTCACTGTGTATTGGGCCTTATACGATCCAAGCCATTACTGCTGCTGGCTATCATCTTACTCTCACATTTACAGCAAATACACCGAATCCCAAAGAAATGACTCCTGACCCCTCACTTCTTCCTCATATCCAGGGGCTCGCCAGCACATGCCCATCACACATCAAATCTATCCTGAGTGTCCAGACTTCTGCCTACTTCTATTACCTTAGTCAGGCTGCCATCATCTTTCAAAGGAATCAGTGCAACACCTCAAAACTAGTCTCTTTGCCCCTCTGAAATCCGTTTCTCAAATGGTAGCAGATGAGATCACTTCCAGTAAAAAACAAAACAAAACAAACTTTCCAGTGGCCTCAGGATCCCCTCAGAAAAAACTGCATTCTTCATCCTGCCTTAAATACCCAATGTGACCTTTACCTCTCTCTTTCTTCTACACCAGTGGCTCTCAACCTGTGGGTCATAACCCCCCAAAGGCCCATCAGAAAACACAGGTATTTACATTACGATTCATTACAGTAACAAGATTAGTTATGAAGTAGCAATGAAAATAATTTTATGGTTGGGGGGGGGGTCACCGCAACAGAAGAAGCTATATTAAAGGGTCACAGCATTAGGAAGATTGAGAACCACTGCTTTACCTCCTTAATCTAACTCAGACTCACAGGCCTTATTATTTCGAAAATGTGAGCTCTCTACAGCATGAGGGCCTGTAGAGGAGTTGCTCCATTGGACCTGAAATCCTGTGCCCTTGAACATCAAGATTCTGTCATTCAAATGTTAGACTCTAATGTCCCACTTTAAAAGGTCATGCCTAGGCATACAGTCCAAAGTAGCCATCCAATCCTTACATGCTACACCACTTTATTCTGATTCTCAACCAGGTCCTGATCACGACTTATCTATTTATGTATTCTTGATGACGTTCTCCCGTAGAGGCTCTGTGAGAGCAACTTTGTTGTTCTCATTTATTATTAAAACCGTGTCGGAGGAACAGACAGCGAGAACACGCTTGTTGTGTTGGTGGTTGTGCCTACTCAGCCTAAGTCCAGGTACTGAATAAGATATAGAATGGGGCAAATTGTTTTATAAAGTGTTTTCACGTTCTACTTATTGTAATAATTTTGCCATATTTTTAAGGGAATGGAAAGTCTAAGAATAAATATGGTAGCTTGTTTTTCTTTCTTTCTTTTTCCCCCCTTTCTGTTGTTTGTTGAGATAGAGTCTCATTAAGCCCAGGATATTCATCATGCAGCCGAGGATGGCCTTGAACTCCTGATCATCCTACCTCTACTTCCCAAGTGCTAAGATTATAAACATGACTTAAGTGGCTTTCAATAAACATTCACGCTTTCTGAAGCTCTCTAATGTAGCTGAATACATCAGATCACATCCAGACCATTCACTGGACATTTACAGTTTTCATGGGCTGAATAACATTGTGCACCAGACCTTTGCTTCACTGAATCATTATGACTATTAATATCTCCATTTTATCTTATTATTTTGTTTTCCAAGATAGGGCTTTTCTATGTAGTGCTAGCTGTCTTGGAACTAGCTCTGTAGACCAGGCTGGCCTTGAACTCACAGAGATCTGCCTGCCTCTGTCCCCCAAGTGCTGGGATTAAAGGCATGTGCTACCTCTGCCCAGCTCAACATCCCCATTTTATAAGTAAAGAAATAAACTTTATTAATTTGTCATTTCACAAAAACAGACTCTATTGGTCTTAAGACCAGATTTATTGGATGCTATAGCCAAGATTTTGTGACCTAATGCTATAGAGTTTCTAAATATAGCCATCTGAATGAGTGTGGCCAATTTTTTTTTTTTTTTTTTTTTTTTTTTGGTTTTTCGAGACAGGGTTTCTCTGTGTAGCTTTGCGCCTTTCCTGGAACTCGCTTTGGAGACCAGGCTGGCCTCGAACTCACAGAGATCCGCCTGCCTCTGCCTCTCGAGTGCTGGGATTAAAGGCGTGCGCCACCACCGCCCGGCTGAGTGTGGCCAATTTTAACACACGGCAATCTCCCCTGTCAAATTTCTATGAGCCTGTGTATTTTTTTTTTATCTTAAACAAGTATTTGGTAAATGAATAATGGATGAATAGGTACATAAATGAAGTATCTATAGTGTTAAGGGAAAGTTATGGGTAGGAATTTACAGTTATTAAAGTATTTTTTCATCAAAAGTCATACACACACGTTCATTTTCATCTTCAAAACACTTCTATCTGAAAGGAACTATTATTGTTCCTTCTGCAGCTGAGGAAAGTAAACAGAGGGATTAAATATTCCAATTATGGCTAAACAGCTGACTAGAGGTAGAGCTGGGATTTAAATTTAGTCTTCTTGCCTCTAAAGCCAATACTCATATCCCCACATCATGGCTCCTTAACTCCAAACAGTTACAAGAAGTTGAGTCGGGTTTTTTTGGTTTTGTTTTCTGTGGGGGTTTTTTTTTGTGTGTGGGTGAATAGATTCTCTCTGTGGAACTTTTGGCAATGACTACTGGCACTCAGTGGTTAGACATCAATATATCATAGGAAATAGTGCTGAGATTGATAAAACTTTGACTATTTCAAGATATTTATTGGTAATGAGATGACATTTTAAAAACAACTAAAACGCCTCAAAACCCACATTAATGGGTTCATTAATTCCTCTGAGCCATCATTGGCAGAATGAGGATCACATGGTTGTGTAATTAGTATGTCATCAAGTAGCTCAGCTATGACTGTAGCTATTACTCCATACACTTCATACATTACTGTAGGAAAAACTTATTCAATAAGTAGAACTTCGATAATGGAATGTAATAGATGAATGACTCAACCTTTACTCATTTCATGGAAAATTCTAGAAACATATAGGTCAAAAAAATTACAGTGTGATTCAGAAAACAGAGCCACTGGAACTAAACTTCCAGGCCCAGAGAAAATTATATCAAAGATGGTTGTGAAAAGCCAAGCTTTGTATCATATCAATAAGCAAAATATACCCAAATTATGATAAAGATCATAAGGATGATAAATCTTTCTCATAGGGTAACTTCTGCTTTGGTTCTTTGAAGGTCTCAGAATGGGCCAAGAACTCATTTTCTGACTCACATAGGAAACATATAGTCTGTCATTATTCTCTATGTCTAAAGGTAGGTCCTGCATTAAACAAACTATCTCTTATTTCTTTTCCTTACTTCATCTCTGATGTCTTCTTTTGCCATTTCCTTCTCAAATATTCCAAAAATCTGTTTACAGCCTACTACTTGCGTTGGTTTGATATCTGAAAGAAGTAGGTCTGAGACTATGGAAAAATTAGCTTATCGTAATTTATAATGCGCTCTCCACAGGGCCCACACAAGGCCAAACACAGCACATTCAAAGAGCTTCCTTCCACACATCATCTGTACATGTTCCTTCAAACCATTCACAACAAACTGATTTCTCAACCATCCCTGGCATCCCATCTTTTCACCTTGTAAACAGCACACTCAGCCAAGCTTCCTCCAACCACATCACCCACATAAAACTGACACCCAAACCTCTGCTCTGAACTAATTCTCCATACATTTCATACATTCCGGGAATGTATGATGTCCTGCCTTGAACATGCCAAGTTACATCAGGGCAAAATTCATCTCCAGAACTACGTGGCTGCCTGAATATCAAACCAAATTTGGAATAAGTGTTTCTCTCTCTCTCTCTCTCTCTCTCTCCCCCTTTCTCCCCGTGTGTGTGTGTTATGTGATATGTACATATTCATACAAGTGTGTGTTGGAATATGCATGTATGCATATGTGTATTCATTAGTGGAAGGCACTTTAATTTTTGAGACAGTGTATCTCATTGAACCTGGAGCTGATTGGTTTGGATAGCCTGGTGGCCAATGAGCTCCAAGGGTGCAGGGAAGCCCATCTTCGTCCCCCCCAGCAGTGAAGTTACAGGTGCATACATCACTTTTTTTTTCTTGAAAAATGTGGCGGATTTGAAATCAGGTCTTGATGCACACATTGCAGACATTTTAACAACTAGGCCATCCCCTAGACCCAGAAATATCAACATTAATGTTACAATTAACATGATAATTTTATAATTACACATCTGTCTCCGCCACTGGACCATGAGCTACTTAAATGGCAGAGCTGCTTCTTACTTTCAAAACAACAATTAAAAATAACAATAACAGCAGCTAATATGTCAAGACTTTATCTTGCCATGCTCTGTGCATCTTTGCACAAATTATCTTAATGAAGTGAATACTATAATGACCTTTTTCTCTCCCTGAGGCTCAGAGAAATTGTGCATCTTGCTGAAGCACACATACTTTGCAGGTGGTAGAAATGGGGTTCAGGCTTAAGAATCATTTTTTTTTTTTATTCAGACTTTTTATTTTTGGACAAGTGTTTTTTGATGCCTCCATAGATCAACAAATTTACAAACTGTGCATCATAAAAGGCACTTGCCAGACAATCCCAAATTAAGGGACAGTCTACCAAATCCCAGAACAGTGCCTGTCCAAACTGATAAGTTCATCCAAAAGACAGAAAGTCTCTAGAAACTGTCAAGTGTACAGAAACCTAAATGATGGCTGTTATTGGTATTCCAAGTGTCATCCTGGGACCACAAAAGACAAAAGTGAAAAAGAAGGGTACTTTCAGAACATGAATTTCACGTAATGATGATGTATTGATACCAGTTCATCACTTACCGAAGGCATGCCATGACTCATGTTAACAGGAGAAATGGTGGGATGATAACCTGAACCCTACATAACATCTTTGTGACTGTTCGGCAATTAACTATCCCAATGTGAAAAGTTTATTTCTGAAATGACATTTTTCAGTAGTCTCTCTCTTAAAGTAGGAGTGGCCTTTTTTTTTTCTTTCCTTCCCCCACCCCCAGATGTGGCTTTTTAATTATGGTATGCATGCTAATCATGTGTGAATTGTGGTAAAATGAGATTTTAATCGCAGCTCCATAATTCCTAATACAGCCCAGGTGCTGCTGGTACCACTGATCATGCCAGGACATGGGTCACACTGCCAAGTTGGCAGGTTTGGAAACACATAACTGTATTGTCAAACGTGTTTAAATCATTTGTATGTGTGAAGGGGCTATTTCCACACAGCAGTATTCTTTACAGAATTATCTCCTAGGCAATTCTTTTGTTAGAAAAATCCTTAAACGTTGGCCATAGAAACCTAGGTACTGTTAATAGCTTTCATTTCAGTGAAAATATCATGTCTCAAACTGTAGTGTAGGGAGAATCGACCCTTTTCCCAAATCCATTAATTCCCCTCGCCTCTGTGCGTGTGTGTGTGTGTGTGTGTGTGTGTGTGTGTGTGTGTGTGTGTGTGTGTATGTACATATACATCTGCATTGAGGAAGATAGAGTGTTAACCAAAACACAGCTGAGCATCCATACTACTACACCACTTTGTATCACTTGAGCATCCAGTGTTTGTCAAAGTGTAGTATGTCGTTCAGCAGCTACTAACTTCTACAGCGGTGGTTCTCAACCTCCCTAGTGCTGTGACCCTTTAATACAGCTCCTCATGTTGTGGTCACCCCCAACCATAAAATTATTTTCATTGCTACTTCATAACTGTAATTTTGCTATTGCTACCCTCTGTGCAAGAATCATTCAACTTTCAAAGGGGTCATAACCCACAGGTCAAGAACCATCATGCCAAAGGAACAAGAATGCAGCATAAAGTTCAGTGGGGTGAGTTAATTACCCAGTACTTAAACCTGGCACTTTCTTGAAAGAATTATTAGGGACTTAAGTAGCTGAGAACAAAGCAACAGGTAGTTTTTGTAGAAATAGCACACTCACCGTTTTCTTCATGGCAGTAGTCAAATCCTGCCACACTACACCTTCGAAAAACCATCTTATTCTCAGTGAGGGTTCCTGTCTTATCAGAAAAGAGGTACTGGATCTGCCCAAGATCCTCAGTGATGTTCAGAGCTCGGCACTGAATGGTAGAATCCATTTTCTCATTGTAGAAATCTACATCACTTTGAATAAAATAGATCTGTCCAAGCTTCACGATTTCAATGGACACATAGAGAGAAATGGGAATCAAGACCTAATAAAGTACAAACAATTTAAAAAGGTTAAAGTCAGTGCAAAAAGGTGAAGACAGCTAGATAATGAGCAAAGATAGAGAAGTTCTCTGTTGACTCCGGCAGAAATTACCTGCAACAAAATGATCATGGTCCAGAACACATAGAATCCTGTCAACACAGGTGATATGACTCGTCCATCTGGCTCAGGGATGTTAAAGAAGACCATGTTTTCATACCTGCTCAGCCATATTCCATGACCTTTAAAAAGTACACAGACACAAAAGGATATTACACAGACAGTATGTAAATAGAGATCTACACCCCTCAGGAAAAACAAACGAGAGTATACGCTTTGAATACTAATTGTTTGTTCTTTAAAACAAGCTCAAACTCAAAGGGCTACACAGTCTCTCGTCCTTGACTCTCCCTCTTCATCTCTTCCCAGGTCCCTTCAGTACGGTGGCAAAGGGTAAGTGGATACACTTAACGTCAGTGTTTGTCAAGCTCAAGGCTAAGAAAAGAAAACGGGTGAGGAAAATTAACAAATAAATTCTTCCTAAAACCAATATTTTGGGGGAAAAAATGTATCAGATGACACTGACACGATAATAACAGATAACGGAACTTTACCCACCAAGTGCACCAGTTAAACACATCACGACCAGAAGCAGGACACACCAGAGGACATCTGTATTTGCTCTTCTCTCCAGTTGGCTGCGCTTATACCGTGGTCCGCTGTTGTTCAGCATCGCTTTGGTTTCATGACCTGCACGGAAAGCATAGTAGGTCTGAGAATGCATAAAGCAAGAGCAGGGGGCAGACATCGCAGCTAAAAAAAAATCCCTCCGGCTGACAATTTAATCGAATGTGGCGCGTAACAATCTTGTCAGTTTAATCGGCGGTTTAGTTAGGAAAACCAGGATCCGTGGTTAAGTTCATCAGGGCACGGTTTCCCTTCCGTAGGTACCATTCTGAGGAAAGGAAACATGTTAGCACAGAGGAAGCACAAAGGAAGGTAGGGAAAGGTAGGAAAAGAACAAACCTGCATAAACCACAATGCCCACAACAGCCTCTGTGTTTCTAATGGTGCATCCTCTGAGCAATAAATTCTCTTTGCTGAGGCCCACCCGTTCCTTGTTGGAATGTTCCCTGTAAGAGAGGCAGTATATAGATTAATGTTTAAATGGCAAAGGGAGGGAGGTAAGAGAACAGTCTTTATCCTGGATGGTTCTATACCCCGTGTGGGAAGTTTGACAGCCCAGAGGAAAGGCTTCAAGTCTCTGGCCCATTTGCTTTTGGTGTCGTGGTTAACCCGCTGCGGGTAAGAGAAAGCTTCAACGTCTCGAAGTTGTTAGCTGTCACATTCCATTACTGCAAGAACTCAAAATGACTCTAAAGGGCCTGCTTTTCCAGGGCGCACTGCATTTGAGGACTTCATCGCTGGTGAGGGAGACAGTCTCGATTTAGAACAGTAATAGTTCTGATTTGGCTGAAATTAAGAATCCTGCTGGACACTGACAATTGGTGGCGGCTGAAGCCATTAGACGAAGGGCTGACGGGGAACTGTGTAATCAAAGGCGAAGGCTGACAGCGCCAATCTGGTAATGGGACATCGCAGGCCTCTGAGTTATAGGAAAGGAAGTGAGAGCCCCAGATTCTTCATCAGAGAATTGCAACCCGAAGTCTGTGGCTCTGAGGCTTTGTGACTCCTCTAGAATCATAAACAATATTTTGTATGGATGGATGCATACATCTTGGAGACAGAATCTGATTCGCTCAACAGATTCTGAAAGTGCCTAGGGACAGTTGACAGATAAAAGGGCCAGAGAAAGAGGTAAATTTGACTAGAAGGAGACAGTTGGCCAAACCCAAATATGGTAATTGCTTCCAGCCAAGATGGCCTCCACCCAGGGAGGAGGCAATCCACTCAGCCGGAAGTGGGGCCCATGACCCCATTTCTTCGGGTAGGAAAACTAGACGTCGATTAGCTAAAATGTAATGTGTAGGACGGACTTTGGTCCTGTTTTGAATAAGACAATTGTCAGAAAACATTTGCTTTTCTCATCAGCTGGAAAAATTTGAACAAATTCCTGGTACTAAATGAGATTAACGAATGGTTTTGACTCTCCTCAAATGTGATAATAGGCTTTGTATTTTTATTAATGTTCTTTTCTGCTCCAAGTATATGGTGACGTACTCTCGGTGAAGTGATGTGTCACAGGGCCGGGAAAGGAGGCAGGTAAGATGGTACCATGTTAGCGCCACTGTGAAATGGCCAAGGCTGGGGTGGAACCTGGGTGCTCATCACAATTTTATTTCCACTTTCCGCACATTCGGAAATGTGTGTAATAACCAGTTTCAAAGCTATTGAAGTAATTACTTGACTAAACTATGACAGCCACAAGAGTACAGGGCAAAAATCAGTGCAATATTTACAAAATCAAGCAGAAATCACCTTTCACACACTGTGGAAATGTCATCTTAATTTTAACATTAGATTCGGATGGTTGTCGAAGCAATGATCATTAGTCTATAAGCTGCTGTTGTTTCTTCCAAGTAAAATTTGTCAATAAACCTACTGCCCTGTCTCTCTGGGACTGCAAAGAAAATAAGTAAAAACCCTACAAAAGTTTCACTTTGTACAGAGAGAGATTTGGCCATTTTGCTCCCAGTTTTACAGACTTTGTTCTATCTGGGATCTGTGCACAGACGTCAATTCAAGAGGCATCCCTGAACCTAACCTAACTCAACTCCTTGGGTTGGGTTGTGAGTAGGAGCTTATTCTTTAACTCAAGCTCACATCAAACCTAGACTGGCTTCGAACCTGTGACAATCCTCCTGTCACAGCCTTCAAAATGATGGGTTTACAGCTCTTTGGTTTTATAGATGAGGAAGGTAAATCTAAGCATTTACATTGACAAATGGCATCAACAAGTTCTTACTGATGCAACATTTGCTGCAGAATCCTTACAGGAAGAGTTTTAAAACATAAAAACATCATCTCTAAAGTTCTTTAGCTAAAATCAGTTTTTCCTCCCTAGACTCCACATTTTCTTCATTCGTTCATGAGGGACGTTAGTTTTTCCTTGAATGTCTTGGTATGCTTTAGACGTCCAGGAAATGGGATCAGGACAATTTTCGTCTTTAAAAATAGGAGATTAGGTGGGAAATTTTCTCTAAGAATATGGCTGACTTTTTTCTTATAAAAACAATGTTAATGAGTATTAGTTGGCTCAGAGTAATAAAAAATCTAAGTGCTGGAAGCCAAGTTTGAGATTGGAAAAGACCCCAAATTACAGGTGTCTTTGCAAAGAGTTAAGGATGGCACTATAAGTGTTGAGTATGAATACTGCTATGGCTTCCCACACTCTTAAGGCAAGCTTCCAAATCAGCAACTCTTTCCAACCAGAATTGCACATCTGCTACTCTAATTCCCGCAAAGGGAACAGACCATCCTAGGATATCATTTATGTCTGCAGAAATATTTCCTTTCAAACTTTAAAGTCTCCTGGGTTTAATATGGAGCTCATGAAGGTGGCATGGTGATACATGTCATCTCAAGAAGCTGAGATAGAAGAATAACAAATTAAAGGCAAGCCTGGCCTGCATAGTAAATTAAGGCCAGTATAAGCTATGCAGTCCTCAAAGATATTCTTATACCACTGGAAGAGGTGATAGGAATATTTTTAGAGGGTTTTATTGTTTAGATTGTTTCACTATACACGGAGAAGAGCATTTATTGAATTACTTAGGTATACCACATTATCGATGGCCAAACTTGCAGTTTTTAATGATTTACACTGGATATGAATACACACAACCATTTTTGAACTAAGTATAACTTCTTTCATGCCCACAAAGGTAAGTTACACATCACTCACAGAAAGCCTCGGAATCTGCTGAGGTCATTGTTGGGACTTTCACATTCTACCCTACTGGAAAACTTCTCAGGATCAACTTCAGAATCCTAAAAATATTTTGCCAACATCAAAAAAGAGAAAAAAATTCATGATTAAGTCTTGGTATTTAAACACTGTATCATGTTGGTCAATTCTTAATACATATAGTAACTAAGGCATATATATATATATTTTTTTTTGCCTCCGAGTGTGTGCTGCAAACCTCCTAGGATGGAGAAAATACAGTCATAATTATGGGATTCATACCAGGAATCAGAATGACGTTAGAATGTTCATATGGCATCCATAGAAACAGGAGAGCTTTTTCAGATTAATCACGTGATGCAAGTTACATGTGGAAGCACACGCACGGCTCCCACTCCTGGAGCAAACAGTGTCAATAAGGTGTGGAAAATACTTTGTTGTCGGTGCCCATAACCTGATGGTTTGCTAGATTCAGAGCACGTGGAAATACCTGGGAGTACATAAGCCTTGGATCTCAGCCAAAGTTCATGAACAAAACTCCCAAGTAAGCAGGACATAACTATCTCACAAAATTCCCTAGTGGAGCAAGCAGACACTGTTATGAAACCAGTGGGGACGCGGGCAAGATGATGCTAAAAAATGAAGATGTGGCTTCATTAAGAATGAGTCACCAGCTCAGGCCTGGTGGCTCATGCCTGTAATTCCAGTACTTAGGAGGCTAAGGCATGAGGTTTGCTACGGGTTTGTTATGAGTTTAAAGCCAGCTGGGGCTATTTATTATTAGTGAAGTTCAGGCTGGCATGAGCTACAGATTATCTTCTCAGAGAGAGAGAGAGAGAGAGAGAGAGATTGGCTATTACTGTTTGAGTATATTTTTATGTCACTGTAGCAAATATGAAAAACACAAATTACATGATAATATGATTCAATTTGTTAATAATACCTACTGAATGTCTTTGATGTACTAGAATCTACATTATGTATGTTAACTATATTGACTAATTTCTTTTTCACAATCCAAAGGTGCTGGTGCATTACAATCTGGCCTAAGGACAACTGAGGGGACACAGAGGATCCAGTAAGTTGCCCAAGTTCTCAAAAGAAGCTGCGAATTACAAAGGAAGCAGCTGTGCTCATGCGGAACTGAACCCAAAGTGTGCCTGTTAGCTAGCCAACCGGCAGCAGCCTAACACACACTGAGTACTGTAATAGAATCCTAAGCTGTGCAAGATGTTGTCAGGATCATAGGAGCAGGGATGTTTATAAAATGACCCAGACAGAGAGCTCAGAGGCAGCTGAACCACAGAGGGATCTGCATGAAGATCCACAGATGGGAAGAGGGGTCCAATATGAGAAGAAATTGTAAGGTCCTCGGAGGCAAAACACAGTTTTATTTATGCACGTACAATGAAGAAATTCCAACTTATTAGTACTTCAGGTTTTAAAATAAAGACACTTAAAATTTCAAAGCCTTTACCTCAGGTGCTTCCAGACATGGAGAAAGGAAAATGATACTTAGCTATGAACGTGTTTTTCACATGAGTCAAACAATAATGCTAAGAAAGAGACATCATGTCCATGTCAATATGAGGAAGCTCAGACATAATGCATTTGAATAACTTCACAAGACCATTACTTTACAAATAAAAGGCACAAATCAGCGGCAGAGCAAAGATTTATTTATTCCAATCTGTGTTCAGCCTAATTTCCCTTATTACAGAAGATGTACAGCCTAGAAGTTAGTGGCATGACAAACCACAAAAGTTTTTTTTTTGTTGTTGTTTTTTTTTTTAAGCTTTGGAATATAGGTAATCAGACATTTTAGGAACAATGGTGAACACAGAAAATGTAAAACCCTAAGAGTAAGAAAATGAAATCAGCAGGTGATTATTTCTATTGCGAGTGAACTCGGCTGGGTTCCCCTAATGCAGCGCCACACTGGCTGATTGTAAACCAAAGAGTGTGAACTTCAAAGTCATTTTTATCCCATTATCTATAAAACATAATATGCATCCCCTGATATCTGAAAATGGATTAAAGCCTTCTGTAATTCTATTTTGCCCGTGGTAAAAATTAAATTAAAAATCTCTTTATCTACCCTGTGAAAATGAGCCCAGCCCTTTCCTGAGGAAGAAGGAATGCCCACAACCCCAGCAGAGAAGACGTTCTTTACCTGTTCTGCAAAGCCACGTACCACCTGTCTCTGCTTTAAATTACTCTCTCCGTCAAGGCCAGAAGTCTCAATGTGACAGATCCCATCAGGGTCTGTGGAGAAGAGCAAGACCATGTCTGCAGGGATGATCTCATTACAAGAGAGGCGAATGAAGTCCCCCACAGTGACATGTTTCCAGCAACAGTCAATGTACTTCTTTTCTTTCCTAAAATCGAACCAGGGGATTAAAAAAAAAAAAAAAAAAAGACAAGAAAAGTAGTAAGAGGAAACACAATTATTTCTTAAAATCTTAGTATGGAATTTACAACTTTTTGTGTAATGCTAATGGAGACACTACGGAATTGGTAAAGTCAAAATTTCACTGAAGCTTCATTTGGAAAATGTAGTTATTAAGTCACTAAAAGGTTCTTTCTGCTCTTTCTTCCCACTGTGGAAATTCAAACCCTTCTGCTGTTGGAATACAAGTCTAGAACAGAATTACAATTAACATTACATGACTATGTTCATATGTAGAACAGTTCTTGCACGCGATTCTGAGATCAGGTATCAAGGACCTGGAGCAGCGACAAGACATGTTGTCTGGTCTTAGAGGGCCCTGTGACACACACCTATGCTGGATAGTTACGGAAAACCTAATGAAATGCAATACCCCCACACAACATTAAATAGTTGTTCTACCACATTACCACCTCTAATTGTCACTCAACAGAAACAAAAGCAGCCTTCCATATCCACGGACTCTGTATCTGAGCATTCCAGGAACTGCAATTGGAAAATGTTCGAAAAGAAAAACATGTACTAAACATGTACTGACTTTCCTTCCTGCTGTCTTTTCCTAAAGAAATGGATTTAACAACTATCGATGCCGCTTTTGCCTTGTATCAGTATTCTGAATACTCTAAAGATTAATTAAAGCGCACAGGCGAACATGCATAAGAGCTGATGCTGCAACATATCATATGAGGGACTTGGGCATCTCTGCCCGTCTCCTGCGCTTCCCCACCCTCTTCCCAAACACTGACAGAGGAGTTTACTCCTGAGTCTGCAGCATCTGACCCCTTCCAGAAAGAACGGTAAAGTTTACCCCTTCTAAAAATATAATTTCCCATTCTATATTTTTATTTCTTAGTTAATGTTTGTATGCATGCATACTAGGCATTATGGCATATACATTGTGGTACACACTAACATTCAAGAGGCCAAGGTCTCAAAAATTAGTAAGTAAATAATTGCAAAGTTATTTATTTTCTATTATATTTATGGAGATAGAATTTGTATTCACTCCCTAGAATCCTGGGAGTTACTTATAATCTAATTTTTATGACATATTAAAAGTCTTTATATCATCAAGTTAAATGGAAAGCTGCCCTAGATTACTTGAATAACCTCTGCCATACAAACTACATCAGTTGGGTAAAGAAATGCTTAGTTTGAAGGGCTAAACAAATGTAAATAAGTAAATAGCTTTACAAGTGCCTAATGCACAATTCAAATCTAACTAGGAGAAATCTTTGATTATCTTAAGAATTTGTTAGTCTACAGAGAATGGCAAATCAATAATTTATTTTGTTTTATTTTCCCCAAATTCTTCCTAGTGTCGACATGTCTACTGAATTTTTCCATGGAGAGAAATAACAGAAAATTTAAAAAAATAGGTAGAGTTATACTTTGAAAGCTCAGTCCTATATGCCACACATACCTGGGAAAGGGATTTCTAGATATTCTAGAAATTTTATTCTACAGAAAATGAAGTCACTAAAGTTCACAAAAGGTGTGTCTCTACTTCTGTATTCTCATTCCTGTAACAGAGTAGTGGACCATTGAGTGGCAGCCTAGTTAGTGGTTAGAACAGACAAGACACCAATGGAAAGTTACTGAACTAATTCAAAGGATGGATGAGAAAGCTCGGATAATAAGGTGGTAGCAGGAGAAATGAATAAAAGATTAAATGAAGACATAATTAGATACCAGAGAGAGCCATTTCCTGACTTGTTCCATGTAAGCAACTTCAAGGATGACAGAATGGTTCCTAATTTGCATGATGAGGTGATAGACAATGCCATTCACTGTGTTCCTGTTTTTGGAAGCAACTATTCCATGTGGGGTGAGACAGCAAATTCATCTTCAGAAGTTTTTATGTGACACGAATTAGGTAGTTGAGGTATACAGCTGGTATAAGATTCTTATCCAGATGTTGTGAGTAAAGACATGAATGTGGAAGCGTGTGGTCCATAAAGAGCAAGTGGCAACAGGTAAGGAAGGATACAAGCATCCTTGGGTGAAAAGTCTTTAAGAAGACAGGGAAGTGAAAGGACATCCAAAAGGAAGTGATGTCATAAAAACCAAAGGAGAAGAAACTTTCAAAGAGGGAGTATTATTAGTCCAACTCTACAAAGGGACCCTGTTTTAATAGGGACCAGCACACCTATGGCATTAGCTCATCAGGAGGTCTGATGACCTCCAAGAAGGGTGATCACATGAACTCTGTTGAGAGGGAGAATGGAGGAAGAACTGTTGGTGACATTCACAGGTCAGAAAATATACTTGACCACTGAGGGTATGTGTATTGTATCCATGATTTGTTTAAACCCTCCTATTGTGTGGGTAAATGGTCCTCCCAAAGCCCAGGGATTGAAGGTGCCCCCCAGTTCATGGTACTATTGGGAAGTGGTTTAGCATTTAAGAGCTGGGTCCTTGTGGGAAGAAGGTATGTCATTTGGAGTGTGCACTTGAAGGGACTCTGGTCCTCTGTCTGTCTGTCTGTCTCTCTCTCTCTCTCTCTCTGCTTCCCGGCTGTCATAAGGTGAGCAGTTTTCTCTGTCACATGAACCTGACATGACAAGCTGCATCACCACGGGCCCAAAAACAATGAGAGCAGACCATGGACAGAAACTTCCCAAACTGTAAGTCAGAAGAACCCTCAATCATTTTAAGATGATTCTATCACGCATTTTATTATAATAACACAAGCCCAACCAGTCTCTAAATCTTTCCATGTTAGTCACATAGAAGACACTCAAGTTTGTTTAATGACTGGGTCTTATGACAACTCTAATGTCGTGAAAACTTTATGAATAACTTCTATCTTAAAGACAATCTAAAGTCATGTCTTCTGTATTAGTTCATTCTAACTTAATTTGGCTAAGACAGGGCTTAAATGTTTAATTTCTACAGTAGTTTTTGTTATTTTTATATGATATTTACCCACAGAAATGGACTACTTTGTGATAGACCAGATATTATGAATATCTACTTTGTGATAGGCCAGGTATTATGAACCAAATTTTCAGTCTGGAAATGTCAACACTCTTCTTCCAAAAGTTTGCTCCATTTAATAGCCCCATGTTTTCTTCCTAAATATTCAGAAAAATATTTTGTCTTCCATTATCTTTTTAATATTCCATGGGCATTTAAATCAGCATATGTAAATCAACATGGTATGGCTTCATAGCCTATTTTTATTTCTTTTTATCTTTATTGTTCTAAAGATAATTTGGGGGAGAAAACATAAAAAACATTATTTCTTCCATAGCTCTGGGCAAAAATAAATTGCCTAGAATATAGATAAAAAGACATCAAGTTACCCAGGTCTCTTATAAAATGCAGTCATGGAGTGATAAAATGGGTATAAATGATTAGAATAATGCATTTCATCACTAAATGTATATGCAAATCATCTAAAAAGGACCCCAGAGAAAAGGCTCTACCAGGTCTCCTATTGGGCAGTTAACATCTAGGAAACAGAGAAGCGCTATTACAAAGTCTCCTATGCTAATTAAATGACTTGCCCATGTGCCAAGAAACCCTCTTGGTAACCGTCATTAACCTGCCATCATAATGCTAGTGGCTAACCTTTACTTAGCTCTTAAAATACACTCATCACTGTGTTTGCTGTGTTGTCATTATATTCATGATGAAATAAATTGGACCTTTAGGTAGCTTAAGCAATCTGCCCAAGGCTACAGAGCTACTAAGAGGGGGGAAATCAAAATGATAACATTTTTAGGAAAATACAGAAACCAAAGACATATTATTGACTGTAAACTAGTGGTAGAAGTCAACAAGCATTCACACTTAAAATAATCTATACACAAAATGCACGCACACACATATATATGTATATATATATATATATAATATATTACATACGTATGCACACATATAGTGCCCTCCCCTTTTGCTAAATTTAGTGTCACAAAATCTGGATTTTGTCACTATGATCATCTTCCAGCTGGTGTCCAAAGGTCAGTATGGTCTAGCATGCCACCTCTCTGTCTCTGGCATTTCCTAAGTCCTCTAGGGTTACTGAATGACTCATGTTCTGTGGCTTTCAACTGCAAATCAGAAACTTTTACTCTAAAACTATTTTAGTATTTGGTGGCATGTATCAAGGTTTTTTGTTTGTTTGTTTGTTTCCTTCATAAATAGCATAAAAATTAGAAGCATTTTTTCACTGTTCAGGTAATCTCACATCATCTTACAATGATGAAAAATAATCTTTTCCTTGTTTTTTTTAAAATAGGTCTGTAAATAAATGTGAAAGGTACTGAAGAAGTCTAATTATGAACAGAATTCACAGTCTTTCAGACTTTAGCTTGAATGCCACATCTTCAAACAACCTTGCCCTAAACTTTTTCTCTTTGATTCTCATAAGAGAATCTCTCTGATTCTCACAAGTTGCCCTGAGCCATGCTGTTTATTAAGTATTCACTTACATCTAAAAAGAAGCACTTAGGAGCTCATATCAGGAGGATCACGGTTCAAAACTCACCTTACCCTGAGTTCCCTCTTGGATACATGGACTTTCTCTTTACATACTGCAAATGAAGTTATGCAATAACTGAATTTACCTGAATAAACCCTCTCCAGTGGATGCCTTGGAATGGCTGCAATAGGGTGTCTTGGGTTTTATGCACAAAAAGAATTCTATTCTGTTTTCACAACCCTTTCCTCCATAGATAACTGACTTCCCATATTCCATTCACCTTTTTATATCTATTCAAGTTTTCCTCTTTATCTTGATCCTCATCGTGGTTCTCATACCCAGGCTGGTAACTATCTTGCCTCAGTCTCCCCAAGTGCTGAGATTATAGGGGTATGTCACTGTACCCAGCTCTCAATCCAGTTCAAATCCGTTCAGTTCCCCAGTGACTGAGTCAGAAGTTTTGTTTTGTATTCTTTTTCAGGCCCATGATTGACAGCAGCTCTTGTTTCCCCTCTAAGACTTCAATTAAATAAATTGAAGGATTTTAAGAAGGGTTAAATAAAATCAATAATAACAACTAGGGGTGTAGCTCAGTGGTAGAACACTTGACTAATATGGAAAAGATTATGAAATCCTAGGTTCAATCCCTGGTACCAGGAGAGGAAAAAAGCAAACAAACAAAATACTAACAGCAGCACAAAAATGGTCCCGATCAGACGTAAGGGCAGAAAGACTAACATGCTTATAAATGACACAGTATATCCTTAGGGACACATGCATTCCACTTACCTACTGTAAACTTTGGTTATTAAATTGTTGATCTGCTTGTCGATTTTGTACTTCCGGTAGTCTTCCAAGCCATCTTTTATTGCAATAATTGTGAGGACCACCACCAGCGGCAGCATCGTGATTTCCTTCTGGAAGGCTTCTACCAAAGGCACCCAGTTCAGGACCACGAGGAACAGGAAATACAAATTGGCAGCCCTGTAAGCCAAGCACACCCAGGGAGGTTTGCACAAAACACTCCAAGAACTAAAATAAAGGAGGCAAGACTTGGGTTTCTTTTTCTTTTGCTTAAGTCAGTATTAGATGGTTTCCTAGGTCACAGAATAGGGAATTAGCAGAATCTAACAAATATGAAGTATTTATATCTATCCAGGACATTTGGCTGGGATCATCTTTGAATAAATATAAGATTTTTTTCCACTAAATATGTAATAGTGAACATTTGAATGGGATAGTCTCAAGTTACGTAACTTGTTGAAAAAAGGAAGTACTGTTTTCTCTTTTAAAGTTAAAAAAGAAAACCCAGGCATTCTGAGTCAACACATTAGATTCAGACAAGGCTCAAATCTAAAGGCTCAAAGTGAGCAGGGACACCTGAGATTTACTCTCCTTGAGAGTTTCTGTTTCTTTTCACACTATTTAGAACCATAGTACCCAGGGAATTCTTCTATCCCCCAAACTTTGCTATTTTATATATTCAGTTAAAAAAAAAAAAAACAAGAAATCTCAGTCCTGCATAGCTATCAGGAATTTTCCTTCTCCCTTCGACCGTGAAACTCCTTAAAAGCATTATCTATCCGAATGTCTCCTTTGTCATCGTCAATTTATTCTGTTTTGAAGTTTTCTTTTTTAACTGTCTTTGTTAGCTCTGTGGCTTCAATTATTTCTATATGGGTCCCATCCAAGTCTACAGCTCAAGAGAGAACACTGTAAATTCTGAAGTTAATTTACTCATCAAATGTACAGTGATTACAGTCTACAGACATAAATACCCATAGCCCTCAAGGCCATTAACCTCACAAACTCACATCTGCACTTTAAACATAACCACTATTCAGTAAATGTACATAGAACCTATGAAGTACAAATTGTGAGGATCTCTGGACTCACAGAAGCAACTTGGGCATTTCCAAAACAAGGAACTGAACAGCCCAGCTGCTTTTGGTCCTGCCTTTCCTTTTCCTGGTAAGTTTTCCAGTCATCACAACATGTCCATCTAAGACTCTTCTCTTCTGCTTATTTTCCCAAGGCTAGATTATAACGCATGTAATGGGCCATCCTTCCATTCATTCCCATGCTATCATAAGCATAGGTCTCCCTGACAGCTCACCAGGGTATATGCAGCGGTATCCTAACTGTTACTTTTTCTTCAGTGTATTTCTAAGGCCTTTCTTTTGCTCACCCGACTGCCTCCGTACAGACACAAGCATGGTTTTCTCTTCTTCAGAACCATGCCTGCTGTATGGAGTTTCAATTCTCTATTCTGACAGCAATACTCCTCTGGTGGGCTAGACCCATCTTTGCATTATTTCCTATTGCTCCCCTCCCCAGGCAGTATCATCTCCCAGGCTTCAAGCGAGGCTTCTATGCTGAGGTCTTTGTGCTTTCACTGATACTCCTTCCTCTCCATGAGATATGCTTTGCCCGTTCCTGGGCAGTAGACACCCCACCCTCCATAGTCACATTAAGTGTCACATCCCCTTCTAGTGTTCCATGGACTAGTATGATTTCCCTTGAGGCTTCCACTCTGATTGACAGCACTTTGTAAACCCACTGTGCCCTCTCACTGTTTCTACACACACATAGATAACCTACAGAACCTATGGGGAAACTAGCAAGTTATACCTGCATTCTCTTCCCTGGCCAAGACCTCAAGTAAGCTCCGATAAATGCCTGTTCAACTCAATTACATCACTGCCTCACTTAATACCATCTTATTACATTTGCTTAAGAGTCCCTTTATTTTTCCTGTTATCAAGTAAGAAAATCTGCAATTAAAACACAACATTGTTTAATAGAAAGGACATTGAAGCAAGCCAGGGAAGGCCCAAGGCTATGGCATCCACTCTGCGGCTTGTCACTGGTGTGGCCTTGGCTGAGCCACAGACGATTTCCTATCTGAAGATAACAGATAACATCATCTTCTCTGATAAACAGAAGACATCCTTCCAACTGTTAAGAACCGTGTGAACCCTAGGCATCCTCACTCCAGCCCAGACTTGAATCTAAATTGCCTTGGATGAGCTTATGGAGCACATAGGACTATGATGAAAGTGGGTGGGTTGGTGGGCATTTCAATAGAAGAATGAGGAACAGTCTGAAGTTTTACTTTCTCTGAAAGTACCACAGTACCTGTGAAACTGCTCGAATAAGTTTCTTGGCACAAAATTCAGAAGTGTGTACTTGGTTGTCCGTATTCGGTTGTTCACGTAGGTTCCAGAAAACCTTTCATACTCGTCTCTGAAGCACTGAAGGTGAGGGATAACCACGCGGTGCTTTCCTGCCGGCTTGGGGGTCTGCGGGGACTTGCCCCCACAGACGAGCAGTGAGGAATAGTTGTATGGCCTCTCATCTTCATCCTGGGTTCTCCCACTCGTCAGCCGATGCCAGTGATGTCTGGCCCACTGAAGAAGCTCAGTCATGTCCAAGATGCAGGGAGACCCAGGCGGTGCAGGTGATCTAGCAAACAAAAACACACTTCCCATAAGCCTCTGTAGACTTGTAAAAGACAGTACAGTTTTCTATACCAGAAAAATACATGGCTTAGTGTTTTCCACAGGTAATTGCGGATGTACAGCTCATCACGGCGACTCCTTTTAAACCAACTTCTTGCTAAGGCATGCACCTTCCTCCTCATGAAAAGACAGCACGCACAGGCCTTTCCATAACTTGGAGTAACAACCTTGGCTTTAATGTATGCAAGTCTCTTTGTTTCTCTGGTCATCAGCTTTTTCCTTTTTGAAACTGGACTATGCATACATGTCAGGAAGTTGTCCTGAAGCTTAACTGAGTAGCATGCAAATGATCCAGCCTAAGGCTTAGTAGACAGTGAGACATCTACGTGGATCACAAACATGGCTACAAGTCCTTCCCACCTGTGTTCATCAAGAGGTGACTCTTTCTTTGCCTGATGAATATCTTTCTCTACAGTGGCCACGTGCCTCAGTCTGGCTAAAGGAACAGTAGAAAACAAGACACAGCAGAAGTCTGGAAAGTGTGATCAGGGTGCTCGTTCTTACTGCTCCCTGAACCCCTTCACCACCACTGTGACCCACTTGTACCAATGCTACTGCGCATGTGTGGCTGAGGCCACCGGTTGTCAGCTGACCACGTCAGGGCACTCAGATGACAATCTAGAACGAAGAAGAGCAGGAGTGTCCCCAGATGAACTGAACTGAAAACAGCCACCTACCAAACTGAGTCCATCAAGGTTCTGTGCCAAGCTCTGAGTGATGCATAATCCCATCCTCATTTTCTTTACTTTGAAGTTTTCCTAGAAATTTACTGTTGAAGAGGAAAAGCCTAGCATTTACTAAGAGCTTACTATATTCCAAACACATTGCAAAATCTTCTGCGCACATCATCTTACTATTCAATCAATTAGGCTGAAGAAATGGTTTAGTAGTTAAGACCATTGCTGATCTTTCAGAGAGCCAGAGTTCAGTTTCTAGCACCATGTCAGGTGGTTCACAACCTCCTTTAACTCCTGTTCCTGGGGACCTGATGCCATCTTCTGGCCTCTGTGGGCACCCACATACATGTATGCATGTACACATGCACATACATAAAAATAAATATATTTTTAAAATTACATCAATCCTATAACACAAGTATGCAGCCTATTTAAGAGTTCATTGCTATTGTACCTCATTTGCCTATTTTAGAGGACATGACACTTGGAAAATGTCCCCCAAAATTCATAAAATAGGTAATGAGCATGTCATTGAGCATGCCACAAAAAGTCCATAGGCCTTGATTTCCATCTTGATTTATCAAGGTCATCGTTTACAGATCCACACCTAAGTTTCTTAGTTAGGAAATCTGTAATGTGTCCTTGTCATCTGAATTGATAATATCTCAAATGAACTCTGATTTGGGCATCTGCAGATGTTATGGGAGGAAACTGGGGTATGTGTTGATACTGTACTAGGCTAGAATCCAGACACCATAAAGACCTGGAGCCCTTTCTCCGAGAGCTGAGGGTCTAAGTGACCTGATAGGCATGTGCATGCCAAAGGCAATCCTACTGTAAACCCTATTTCAGGTACCGTTGTCCTTTAGGAAGAGTATTCAAGGAGATTTTCCTTTCTAAGCTTCACTCTAAGTTTATAACGTGAGTACTAATTCATTTTTCTAAAATACTATACTAATCAGAAGTTAATTGTTTTCCCCTAAGGACATTGAAATTAGACTCAATTTTTATGAATCTAAAATCCTAAGTCATTATCCACCAACATTGGCAGATCTGTCTTGATTCTCCTCGTTCCAAGGATCAAAATTTGAACAATTCATTCTTGACAGCACATTTGTTCCCCGTGCATTGGGCCTTACACAATCCAAGCACTACAGCTACTTGACATCATCCTATTCTCACATTTACAACAAATACACTGAAACACGAAGAAATGACTTAAAATCCGTTAGATCTCTTTAAAAAGTCACCCGAAACAAAGCAATGAAAATAAACAGAGTGAAAACATGCACATATTCATCCATTCATTTTGCAGTACTGGGGATTGAACCTGAGGCCAGGCACATGCTATACACATCCTAGGCAAGCATCCTACCTCTAAGCTGGATTCCTATCTATTTTTTCAGAGATTTCATTTTTTTTTAATTTTAAAGTATTTGTTGTTGTATTAAATGTTTTTCTACTCAGCACAATTAAACATTTCTTAATAAGTGTTAATGCATCTAATAGATACTTCATTACAGATCTGACATATGCTTGATAAGTACAGCACATACATATTATGTCAGCCAAGTTTTATTTATTTATTTATTTACTTATTTTTATTTTGCAATACAGTTCAGTTCTATATATCAGCCACGGATTCCCTAGTTCTCCCCCCTCCCACCCCCCTCACCTTCCCCCCAGCCCACCCCCTATTCCCACCTCCTCCAGGGCAAAGTCTCCCCCGTGGACTGAGATCAACCTGGTAGACTCAGTCCAGGCAGGTCCAGTCCCCTCCTCCCAGGCCGAGCCAAGCAACCCTGCATAGGCCCCAGGTTTCAAATAGCCAACTCATGCAATGAGCCCAGGACCCGGTCCCACAGCCTGGATGCCTCCCAAACAGATCAAGCCAATCAACTGTCTCACCCATTCAGAGGGCCTGATCCAGTTGGGGGCCCCTCAGCCATTGGTTCATAGTTCATGTGTTTCCATTCATTTGGCTATTTGTCCCTGTGCTTTATCCAACCTTGGTCTCAACAATTCTCGCTCATATAAACCCTCCTCTTTCTCGCTAATTGGACTCCCAGAGATCCACCCAGGGCCTAGTCATGGATCTCTGCATCCAGATCCCTCAGTTGTTGGATGGGGTTTCTAGCATGACAATTAGGGTGTTTGGCCATCCCATCACCAGAGAAGGTCAGTTCAGGCTGTCTCTCAACCTTTGCCAGCAGTCTGTTGTGGGGATATCTTTGTGGATTTCTGTGGGCCTCTCTAGCACTTTGCTTCTTCCTATTCTCATGTGGTCTTTATTTACCATGGTCTCCTATTCCTTGTTCTCCCTCTCTGTTGTTGATCCAGCTGGTACGCCTATCAGAATGGCTAAGAGGGGAGAGGGGAGAGAGGGAGTGCCTCATCAAGGATCACCGAGGCTTGTGATATTTTAATGTCTAGCTTTTGGGGATTACTTAATCTAAAGCAGGCTTTCTTAAACTTTCCATTCATGAACCTTTCTCCCTCAAGAATCCTTTTATGAGACCCCCAAGTATACCAGTACATAAAGCAGGTATGCAAATCAAACATTTATGGATAATAGATGCTAAGACATTCTTTTAAAACAGCCAGTTTGCATACTAATAAGGTGAGTGCACTTGCTTATTTTTATGTAAGGAATTAAATCTGAGCTGAATATTTGGCACTGAATGTCATGGAGCATCTTTGATCTTTTTCAGTTATAGCTCATAATTGTTAATGCCCAGGACGCTACTTTTCCTAAGTGCATAACCCAAAATGCCAATAAGACCACTTTAAACATTGTTGAAAATTAATAAAAAAAAAGAAGTTATGAATTTGAAAGAGAGCAAGGAAAGATAACATTTGAATAAGAAAAAGGAAGGAAAATGATGTAATTATATTATAATCTCAAAAAAATGAAAGAAACAATTTAAGAAATTGCTAGAAATTCTGTCCTAATCCCAAGACAGAATCTATTTAGTGATTTTATGTGTTTTGAAACACAAGTCAGCAATTCAAACAGCAATTTTAAAAATCAAACATCCAAATACAATATAATCCAAAGATAGACTAATGGGATACTTACATGCTTAGAAACAATGGTAGGGAAACATAAAAAAAAAACAACAACAACTTTGTTTTCCATAATTAAACCTTACGTTTCTATACCAGCAGAAAGCTCTTACTTAAACACTAAGTAAAGACACTACATAGCGTACAGCAGTCCCAGATCTGAACCCAGGTGTTTCAGCCCTCACTGGTCCTGGATGACGTGACAGCCCGCTCTGTGCCACGGGCACCCTGGGGGGTGTTCAGAACCAGGGCTTGCAGTGAGACCGATACAAAACGCAGGCGGACGCTGCCAGGAGCACCTCAGGTGTATCGCACAGTTCGTTTCGGTTTGGATCATTCGCGCTCACACACATTTTATCATTACCAGTCTGGTGTTTGCAAGCCATGTATTCATTTACACAGCCACACACGGAGTGGCAAGCCATGGTTTAACGAGCTGTGATCTAGAAGTCGCAAATCAGCTGAGTCTAGTCAGGCACCGGGCTGCCAACGAGCATGTTCTTGTAGTTTCTTTTTAAGAACACAGACAATCGGCATTTTAACATAGAGATAACGCATTAATAATTGGCTTCTCCTAAACGGGAAAGTAGCAGAACACTAGCACACATTTTTGTGAGAAGTTTTTCATTACGGCCCCTTGACTCCAGCCCTCCGTTTCCTAGTTCATCCATTTGAGCTAAAGTTGTAATAAGCAGTTTGCTCACCCTTTGTTACTCTAAATCCTCCTGCTGTGTTGACGTGGGCTCACGTATTAACCACTGGATTTGTCAGCCATCTGACCTACAGGAGCCATCTCTCCACCTCAGTGTGTTAAAGAGAAAGTAGACGCCACATAGATCACAGGACACATGGTAGATGAAAACTTGGCCTTCTCCTCCACACTTTCACTGTCTGTCATCTCTTTGGCCATCCCTAAGCAGAGGCTGGAACCTGTAACTCACTGAGGTGAGTTACAAACTCCAAGTGCTTCTCCTAGAGTATAATTTGACTTGCTTGAGTCTGAGTACATACTCTGTTCATTGTACCTGTAATACCTGGGAAGGAGCCAACACTGAATATTCACACCAATGTCGCAAAAGACAAGTGTAACAAGAAATGACCTCTATGCTACCCAAACTCATCCCGAAACATTCTCTCCTAAGCTCATTTCAACCATGTTTGTGAACTGGCTGCGTTCTACTTGTTCTGTTTCCCAAGCTCC